TCAGAACAGTCCCAATCATGCATTTCTAGTATTCCATGCATGTTGTTCTCACACACACACAGGGGTCTGAAGCAGCGAGCCTCTGAGAAAGCTCCTCAGACTGGAGTCATGGAAAGTCTAGGCTAGGGGTGTCGAACTCAATCAGAGAAGGGGCCAAAATCTAAAATCCAGCCTAAATCGCGGGCCGAATGGTTTACTGAACAGTCATAAACTGTCATTGTGATGGGAACGCAGCGGAGTGCAGTGATGACAGCGCGGTGCGGGCCACATTGCAAGGCCTGGCGGGACGGATTTGGCCCGCGGGCCTTGTGTTTGACACATGTGGTCTAGGCATTGACCTTCCTTCCTTCCTCTTTCCTCTTTCTCCCTCCAATGTTTGCTGCAGGCTCCTTGATTGGCTTGACACCTGCTAGGAAAGGCCAGCACCCCTGCCTGCAGGGGAAAGACACTTCTGCAAATGCCGAGATGTGTGTTGGGGGAGGGAAGTGCCTGACTTTGAGATGCTGAGGTCTGGGCTCAGAGCAGAGATGGAAGGCAGGATGGGTGGGGCAGCAAAGAGGGGTTACAGTTGGGGTGGGAACACCGGGCCATGCTCTGCCAGCTGTGCTCCTGCTGACACCTAGTGGCAAGACAAGATTATCATCGTTTTCATTGCAGCTTCCTCTCTGAGCGTATAACCTCGGCCAGAATATCTGACTGACTCCCTGAGCCACCACACCATGTCCATCCCTGGGCTCTGGTGAATCATGCTGTTATGGATTCTGTGGGAAAGTTTTTGTGGGGATGCATGCCTTCTATTTTCTTGGGTAGATAGGAGTGCAACTTGCTGGGTCAGATGCTCATTCTACATGTAACCTTTTGAGGCATCGCAGGCTGTTTTGTTTTGTTTTATTTTTTGGTCCTCACCTGAGGATATTTTTCCATCGATTTTTTGGGAGAGTTAAAGAGAGAGGGGAAGACAGAGAGAAACATCAGTGTGAGAGAGACACATCGACTAGTTGCCTCCTGCACAAGCCCGGACCAGGGCCTGGGCTGGGGAGAAGCCTGCAACTGAGATATGTGGCCTTGATAGAATCGAACCCAGGACCCTTCAGTCCACAGGCTGACACTCTATCCACTGAGCCAAACCAGCCGGGGCCGCAACAGTTGCACCATCCTGTATTCCTACCATCCATGCATGAGGGTTCCAGTTACTCCACATCCTCGTCAAAACTTATTGTCTGTCTTCTTTTTAAAAAATATAGCCACGCCGAAACCGGTTTGACTCAGTGGATAGAGCATCAGCCTGTGAACTGAAGGGTCCTGGGTTTGATTCCAGTCAAGGGCATGTACCTTGGTTGCGGGCACATCCTAAGTGGGGGATGTACAGGAGGCGGCTGATCGATGTTTCTCTCTCATCAGTGTTTCTGAATTTCTATCCCTCTCCCTTCTCTCTGTAAAAAATCAATAAAATATATTTTAAAAAATATATATATATAGCCCAAACCGGTTTGGCTCAGTGGATAGAGCGTCGGCCTGCAGACTGAAAGGTCCCAGGTACGATTCCAGTAAAAGGCATGTACCTTGGTTGCAGGCACATCCCCAGTAGGGAGTGTGTAGGAGGCAGCTGGTCAAAGCTTCTAACTCTCTATTTTTCTCTCTCTTCTGCTGGGTAAAAAAATCAATTAAAAAAAAAATATATATATATATATATATTGGTTTCAAAGAGGAAGGGGGAGAGAGAGAAATAGAAACATCAATGATGAAAGAATCCTTGATTGGCTGCCTTCTGCACGACCGCCACTGGGGACCGAGCCTGCAACCTGGGCATGTGGCCTGATTGGGAATGGAACTGTGACCTCCTGGTTCATAGGTTGATGCTCAACCACTGAGCCATCATAGCCTGGCTTGTCTGTTTTTGTTTTGTTAATTCTCATCCTTTTCCATTGATTTTTAGGGAAAGTGAAAGAGACAGGAAAAGACAGAGAGGAATATTGATGTAAGATAAGCACATTGATTAGTTGCCTCCTGCCCCAACCAGTGCCCTTGACCATAATCAAACCTGGGACCCTTTGGTCCACTGGCCAACACTCTATCCACTGAATCAAACCAGCTAGGGCTGCCTTCTTGGTTCTAGTTACCCGGGTGGGTGTGAAGTGGTAAGTCTGGTCAATATTAGGTTCTAAATAACCCTAAGAACAGTCTCCTCATCACCAGTCCCACTTGGACTTCTTCCCTTCTCGACCCCTCTGCCACTCCCAAGCTCACCAAGTACATGGTCAGTAAATTCTCCTTCAGTGAATGAATGGATAGCCCTAGCTGGTTTGGCTCAGTGGATAGAGCGTTGACCTGTGAACTTAAAGGTTCCCAGGTTCGATTCCGGTCAAGGACACATGCCTGGGTTGCAGGCTCCATCCACAGTAGGGGCATGCGGGAGGCAGCCGATCAATGATTCTCTGTCATCGTTGTTTCTCTCTCCCTCTTCCTTCCTCTCTGAAATCAATAAAAACATATTTAAAAACAAACAAACAAACAAAAAACACAGCGAGGCCAGTTTGGCTCAGTGGATAGAGCGTCAGCCTGCGGACTGAAAGGTTCCAGGTTCCATTCCGGTCAAGGGCATGTACCCTGGTTGCAGGCACATCCCCAGTAGGGGGTGTGCAAGAGGCAACTGATCGATGTCTCTCTCTCTCATCGATATTTCTAGCTCTCTATCTCTCTCTCTTCCTCTCTGTAAAAAATCAATAAAATATATATATTTTTAAAAAACACACACATACACACAAATGGGTGGATGGGCAGATGGAATGTTACTTTAGCTGTCAAAAATAATCTTACAGAAGGATGTTTAATGAGGAGGGAAGTTGTGGTCGGCAGAATAACGCCACTTCCCCAAATCCGCAACCTAATCTCCGGGACCTCCTTATATGGTAAAAAGACCTTTGCAGATGGGATGAAGTTTAGGACCTTGAGACGGGGAAAATTATTTTCACTATCTGGGTGGGCCTAATGTCCTTGTAAGAGGAAGGCAAGGGAGTCAAAATCAAAGAATGAGAGGTGACAGTAAGACCAGAAATTGGGAAGGTGCAGCACCATGAGCCAGGAGTGCAGTGGCCTCTAGAAGCCGGAACAGGTGGCACCAGATGCTCCCCTGGACCCTCCAGGAGGAGCCAGCCCTGCCCACACCTGGTCTGCAGCCCCCTGAGACCCATTGTTGGATTTCTGACGCCCAGAACTGCAAGATAACAAACTTGTGTTGTTTCCACACAAGGATTTGTGGTAAATTGTCACAGCAGCAAGCATTAGGAAATGAATACAGAAGGATTAGTATATATTCCTATGTGACTGCCCTGCTGGGTCGTACTGGGCGCTGAGACAAAAGGGAAAATGTGAGCCTCTCAATATAGGTTTTATGTAATTTTTAATTTCCCCCAGAAGTAGATTTTGAACATGTTATAAAGTGTTAGCTTCCATTACACGCAGGAAAGTAAAATTATAATAAGTTCTTAACATTGTGCATTTCAATATACCCACTTTTCAGTTTCAACCTATTTTTAATGATGTCCTGGGGAGAAATACCCATTAAAATGCATTAAAAGAGGTATAAAGAGGCACACATTTTTACACTGATTTCAGACTCCAATGTATGGGTTGGCAAGGCATTGCCAACACCTGTCTTGATGAAAACTTGATATTTTATTCATTATGGAGTTATTTTGCCATTTATTTGATATGTTATAGTAGTGCATTAAAATATTTATCTCAATTGAGTTTTTTGGAGCCCCCTTAATTTTTGCACCTGAGGCCAGTGTTTACTCTCCTCACCCTAATTCTGGCTCTGCAGAGGGAGGGAGGGAGGGCAGAAAGACTTTACAGCAGTCTGACCTTAAATTCTTTGCCATAATCTCCCTCCCCTCTACCATCTTAAAAAAGAGAAAGCAAACAAGTTAGCTGTGGGTTATGAGATGAAAAGTCATTTTAATTAATTTCTTTTTTTTTTTTTTTTTTTACTTCAAAATTTCCTGAGCGTAGTGTGTAGACAGTAAAAGTACTTTACAGAAAGTTCTTGTAGAAAGTGGTTTGGGCTGAAGCAACATTGTAAATATCTGTAGACACTTAGGTGATATTTTCAATAAAGATTCTAGGAGACGAGCATTGGTTTCAGCATGGGTTTGTGAGCAATTTTTGTCTTTGTTTTATTTAATGGGACGTGTGTTGACAATAAACTAATAAAGTTGTGTTTTTTGGAGGTTTTCCTCTTCCCAACTTCCATTGCATCAAGCAAGAGTGATGAGCATTTAGGAAAAGCGGAAATCATCTCCGGCGACCGCAACCAAAGGATACAGTATTCATTTCAGAAGCTATAATGTAACAACTTTTGTAACATTGGCTCTGAATAATCATCATAAAAGGTCTTGCCCCCGATGGTTTCCGTATTTGTAACTGTTAACACGTTCGCCTCACACGCGAAAGATCTCCTCCCAGGCGGGAAACACGCTCATTTTGTTTCTTTATTACAGAATTTAAATATTTACTTCAAAGTAACTTCTTGGAAATTCTGGTTCAGTGATTTTTTTTTCTTCTTCTTCTGCATCCCTGTCGTTTTAGAAATGACAGCAGAATTCTAAAAAACGATTTCAAAGTCAAAGCAATTGAAATTCTAGCTCGGTTCTTTTACCATAAAACTTTAGATGGAGAGTCAAGGGAATAGAAAAAGGCTAAAATTAGCAGGGTTGCGTTGGCCGGGAATCGAACCCGGGTCAACTGCTTGGAAGGCAGCTATGCTAACCACTATACCACCAACGCCCCGGCAGGACGAGCTTCTCCAAGGCTCTTTAATAGAAAACACATTGGATTGGCTGCGGTACCAAATAATGGGATGTCTCTCCCACGCGTCCCTCCGCGCATCGGAGGACACCGCCCTCGGATGTTCCACGCCGCCGCCCGCCCTGCCGCGCCACACGTCCCCCCAGCGCCGCGGAAGCCTGGGTGCCGGCGCCGGCCCCGGCCAATCCCGGGCCGCCGCCTGGGCCGCTCGACTTCCGGGTCAAAGGGTCCCGAGCCTCGGAGTACCCCGTGCTCGCCTCCTCCGCTGTCCCCCGCGCCCGCCACTTCCGGGGCCGCAGTCCCGGGCATGGAGCCGCGAGTCTGAGGCGCTCCGGCCCCGGGACGACCCGGCCCGCCCGGCCGCCGCCCGCGCCGGCCCGAGCCCTGGTGAGCAGCGCCCCGCGCCCCATCCCGCTCGGCCGCGACCCTGCATCGCCGAGACCCGCCCGTACCCTCCGCCCCCGCCCCGCCGCGGACCCGCACTCTGGTCTCTCCAGCCCCCGGTGGGTTTCCTCTTCGCTCCGGCCTCTCCTTGCCCTGCATCCCCGCCCGCCCCCTCCCGCTGGGCCCCCTCTCCGCCTCCGCCCGGCCGGCCTCCTCCCCACCCGTCCCGGCGCTGCATGCCACCTGGCTCGGGCCCCTTCCGGGGGGCCGCGCCCGAGCGCGCCTCCTCTCCTCGCCGGCTCTGGAGGGCCCCACTTTCTCCATCTCCCACGCAAATAGGAGAGCGGAGGCCACCTCTCTGACCCGTGTGCTGCCCCCTGCCCAGGGCTGGGCCCTCCGCTTCCACATCCCCGCAGGTCCAGTCCCTCTTCTCAGCTCCCCCCATCCTCATCCCAATCCCCATGGCCATGCCCGCCCGGCCGCCACCTTCCTCCCACACTTCTCAGAGCAGCCTGGACACTTCCCGCTCTCGACACTGCCCCTGAGCCCTCCGAAGCAGCCCTTCCCTTTGCCTCCGCTCCTGTCAATCCTCCCTTCCCCCTCCATGAGGAAGTCTTAAAAAAAAAGCCTGCTTTCGAGGAGCTGGGACTAGAGCCCAGATGTGCACTGTGGTCACCAATCCCTGTCGTCCCTGGCCGGGTCCTGGGGACTGGGCCCCGGGAGGACTTGTCTCCTGGGCGTGGTTCAGGACCACAGGGCTGTGAGGCTGGCTGGGAACAGCCCCGGTAGAGGGAATCAGGCAGACAATCGGGACTCCCCGGTGATTAGTCAGTCCCTCCGTTAACCCAGTGCGTTCATGACACATTCACTCCGTCAAGGTCTTGTGTCCCGCACCCCCAGCTGGAATGGAGGCTCTCTGGACCCTTTAGAAGGTCAGTTGTGTGGAGGTGGGGCGGCCAGGCCGGCTGGGTGTGGGCTAGTGGGATCCATCTGCCTGTTCCGGGATATAGAAGTTGGCAGGAAGTGGTTTTCTACAACCCTGGGGTCACCGCCGGCAGGGACAGTTGGCTGGGACCCAGGCCAGTAGCTGAGGTTTTGTGTGCTTTTGCTGAAGACTTTTCTTTCCATCCAGCATTCTGGTCCAGCTGCCCCACCCCCTACCCCGTATGTACCCCCTGGGATGAGAAAGTGGAGAGCGCTGATTCCAGCCGAATTTGGCAGAGGTGTGGCTACAGTCTCCCACACCTAACAGTGCCTGGTATTTGGTCAGTGGATGGTGGGAACTCTGGATCTGAAAGGGATTTCAGTCCTGTTCTCCCCTCGGTGTGATTTTAAATAACTTGCTTAGTCAACAGTATTAGCTGTCATGTAGTTTCTACTATGCCAGGCCCTGCCCTGTGCAGTCTCATTTAATCCTCACAGTAGCCCCACTGCAGTCCCATCTTATCGCTGGGGAAATTGGGGCCCAGAGAAGTTACGTGACTTCCCCAGGGTCACACAGCCTGGCTGTGGCAGAGCCAGGATTTGGACCTGGACCTTTCTGATGCCCAGAGCCCACTCTTCACGCTGCACTGAGAGTGAAGCCAGTGCTTTTTTTTTTTTTTTTTTTTTTAAATATATTTTATTGAGTTTTTTTACAGAGAGGAAGGGAGAGAGATGAGTAGAGAGTTGAAACATCGATGAGTCATCGATCAGCTGCCTCCTGCACGCCCCCTACTGGGGATGTGCCCGCAACCAAGGTACATGCCCCTGACCGGAATCGAACCCCGGACCTTTCAGTCCGCAGGCCGATGCTCTATCCACTGAGCCAAACTGGTTTCGGCAAAGCCAGAGCTTCTTGTGGTGACATGTTGCTTCACCTCCTGCATGATCTCCGTCCTGCTTTTTCTTTAAGTGGCCACCTGCCTGTTGTCCTGGGACCCAGCTTGTTGAGGAGGTTGTTGGGTGCCAACCAAACCCTTTGACTTTAGACAGTGTTCAGGTGAGGACAGGGACAAGCTCACCCATCTAGAATGCTTGCTGAGTGCTTCCTATGTGCGAGGCGTGGCTGGGCCCAGGACACAGCAGGAGCGGACAGCTGTCCTGCCTTCGTGGTGCGGGCATCCCAGTGAGGAGTGCTCGCTCGCTCAGAGCAGGGGTTCTCAGCCTCAGAACTGGTGACATTCGGGGCCAGGTCATTCTTTGTGGGGTGGAGGGAGAGGGCCATCCTGTGCATCGTGGAATTGGGTCTCCACCAATCAGATTGCTAGTAGCATGCCTTCCAGCCGTGACAACCACAAATGCCCCCAGGGGGCCAGAATTGGCCCTGGTTGAGACACCCTGGATTAGGGGATCCCATTTACCCCTCCCCCCAGGAGATACTGCGTTCTCTAGTCATTTTGGTTTGCTGGGGTCCTAGGATGCTGCACACATTTAAATATTTACATAAACTGAGTGGGGAGGGGGAGAGAGTGACTCACAGCCACTGGAGGTCATTCTGATGTATACCATCAGGGATTTTATTTTATTTATTTCTTCAAGTATATTTTATTGATTTTTTTACAGAGAGGGAGGGAGAGAGAATTAGAAACATCAATGAGAGAGAAACATCAATCAGCTGCCTCCTGCACCCACTCTACTGGGGATGTGCCCACAACCAAGGTACATGCCCTTGACCAGAATTGAACCTGGGACCCTTGAGTCCGCAGGCTGATGCTCTATCCACTGAGCCAAACGGGTTAGGGCAGGGGTTTTATTCTTTGTGAGCCTGAGGATCTAACTCAAACTTTTCCTCCAAATAATGAATGCAGTGTTTTCCCCTCAGTACTGCTGACACTGGGGGCAGGTCATTCTCCGTTATGGGGACAGTCCTGGGCCTGCGGGGCATTGAGTCTCATTCCTGACCTTCACCCCCTTGATACTAGTAGCACCTCCACCCCATCAATGGTGACAACCAGAAAATGTCTCCAGATATCACCAAGGGTCCCCTCGTGAGGCAGAGTTGTCCCCTTTGTGAACTGCTGTCCCAGCGCAAGTGCTGTGCAGGAAGACCACGTGTTGTGATGGGGGTGACAAGTTAGCAACTTTGGATTCAGTGCCTGGAAAGACCTCTGAAGAGGTGATACTGATACCCAAAGGATAAGAGAGCAAGCAGGTCATACGAAAAGGAGGGAAAGGGCATCCCAGGCAGAGTGGGAACAAGAGTGGTGTGTTTAGGGAAGAGGAAGGCCAATGTGCTGGAGATGATGGTCAAGGGCAGGGGAGCAGGGGAGGTCAGGCGGGCCATCGGGAGCATCCACAGTGGGGAATTTGGCTTTGTTCCATTTCTGGCAGTGTGTGGGTGGGATCCTCAGAGCCATTTGATACTCTCATCTTCTCAGGGACTTCTCACCTTGGGAGAGCTGCTAGGCAAAGAGATGCTGTTTTCTGGCAAATGTCAGGCACCCTCTCAAATTTCAGGCCAGGGCATCAGAATGGCCTTGGCATTGAGTGTTCCCGGAGGCATGGAGGGCTGCCCGAGGAAGTGAGACGCGAGAGAAGCAGGGGAGAGCTTGCACCCCTGGATTGCCTGCTGGGAGTTGCAGCCCTGTGGTCTCTCCTGTTGCAGGCTCCCCACCTTCCTGACCAGCCAGGTGGTTAATGCGGACGGTTAAGAAGCTTCGCCTGGACAACAACTCAAACACAGGAAGTTGGAGGAGGTGAGGCGCATGGCTCTGGGCGCGCTGATCGCCGGGAATGTTGCAGAGTCTTAGGTCTGGGAAGATCCCTTTGCACCCTCACCCCCCTACAGTTGTGCACTCTCTAAGGTGAAGTTCTGGCTGTTTTGCGGGAGTGACGCTGTGAGCTGGCGCAGAGTTTCTCAGCCCTTCCACTGCTGGCATCGGGGCCAGATCACTCTGTGAGGCTGTCTTGGGCAGTGTGGGTTGTTGAACAGCATCCTGGCTCCCACCCACTTGATGTCAGGAACACGCCCAGTCACGGCAACCACACAAGTCCCCAGAGATTGCCCAGTGTCCCCTGGGGACGGGATCAGCCCTAGTTGCGCAATGATGGCCTGGTGGTTAGGATGTGAGTTTTGAGTCCAACAGACTTGGGCTCCCCTCCCCTGGGGGTGACATGGGTCAGGCCATTTGACCTCTTTGAGCTCACTTTGCAGGCTCTCAGATGGAGCTGAGCCTGAAACCCACCTCCCAAGCTTACAGTGAGGACTGGAGGTAATTACACACACAAGATTTGTGAGTTTGGTAACTTCCACGTGTGGGGCCTGGCGAAAGTTGAAGAAACTGTAGGAATTTCTCGACCAAGTTGACCCATGTCAGTCTCGGTTATCTAACAATCTCAGGCTCATTTGCTTTTGTGGAGGCAGGAAGGTCTCAAAGATGATTCTGGAAGACGCTAAACATGGTGATTCGTTTCCAAGATGCAGGCTGAGAACATGCAGTCCCCTTGTCTGATGGGTGAACGTGTCAGGTGTCCGTTGTGATGGGAACCCATGTCTCTCTGTGTGCGTTAGGTCCCGGGTGGGCACAGACTGGACTGCACGCTGACTCTGTAAGACCGGTCCTGAGAGCGGGGGGGCCTCAGTGGTGCTGGGCAGAGAGCAGCCTGCTGCTTCCTGGGAACCCCCAGCTTCAGGGACATAGGGAGTGACTTGAACACCACTCCAAGGCAGTATGTCCTGTCCCTGCCCAGCACCTGCCCAGCACCAGCCTCCCTCCCTGCCTTATCTCTCAGTGGTTGGCCTGAACTCTCCCAGAGCTCAGGGTCCACGGTTTCTTCTTGCCTTCCACCTGCTGCCCTCATCACAGGCCCCCCTCTGGTCTCTGGTTGATGCCAGTGGTGGCCCCAGCTCTTGGAGCACCAGCTCAGGCAGAGATCATAGAGCTCCCCTCAGGCCTTGACAGTGGCTGAACCGGATGTCCTACACTGTTGGCTGGTGGTGGCCCAGGCTGTGGAGGCGCCTACCGATTGGCAGAAAGAAAGTGGAGGTGGACATGGCCTAAGAGGTGTGCGGTCCACTTTCATTTCCCAGCTGTGTAAACTCTTGACTCAAGAAGGCCAGCACGGGCTGGCGCTGGATGGCGCAGGGCCGGCACAGACTTGCTTCACCGGGGCCCCGTCCCTCTTCCCCAGCCTCTGCCTGCAGTCAGGGCAGTGCCTTGGGGAGAGGAGAGGCAAGTGGAGAGCCTGACTTAGCACCAAGCCTTCACCTGTCTGCGAGCTCGGGCTGCCCCACTGCATCTAGAAGATTCTTAGAAGTTTCTCTGATGTTTCATTTCATTTCTCATCTCCTGGATCGCATTTTCGCTCCTTGGACTCTCTGTAGCGATTGGAGGCAAGATCTTTTTTATCACTCTTTGCTATGGAGATAAGCCATTCGACTTTGCGAGTGCTTTCCCCAGGCTCTTTGCTTCTGGGGTTCCCTTGGGGGACCCTGGAGGCCACGATCTGTCTTTCTGCTGAGAACAGGGCTTGAGTTGTGGTAGCGGAGCTGGGGAGGAGTCCCCCTGGCTTGGTTTTCTGGGCTTGTTGCTGGCGGTGCTTGGGTCCTTGGGTCCGTGTGGGTTCTGCGATCACCCCTCAGTGAGTCTCCCGCCATCTCTGGGTTTGGTTTGTCTGACCCGAGGGCCCTGAAGGCTCTGCTGGCCTGTGGTCTGTGTCTTCAGAGCCAGCCTCGGAGGAGCTGACCTGACTGCTCTTTCGGACTGAGGGGCAGGACACCCCAGCTCACTGCGCTCGTTTTGGATGGCCTCGTGAGATGGCCTGGCTCTTCCACAACTGGGTCACCATGTTTGTGTTTAGATTTCTCTAAAACAAATATTTGCCTGGCCAGGCCAGTCTGGTCAAGAAGTGTGCTCAGCAGCGTGGGTGGGAGAGGGAGGGAGGGGGCCTCTGCACGGCCACAGCTGCTCTGGAGCGGGATGGGCTCTGCCAGGAGGGTGGGCACTGCACTCTCTCACCGAGTTCTCACGGGCCCGGGGAAAAGCTGCCTGGTTCTCTGAGCGCCTCCGGTGAGGCGCACGTTTTCCCTGCTGGCCAGCCAGCTGAACTCTGCGCTCAGGCTTCTGTGCATGGGCCAGTGGCCTTCCATGGCTGTCTGTGGAATGCCCGCTGTGCCAGGGCCACGTGAGGTTCTGGAGGTACAGCCATGACTCGGACAGACATGGGGGAGCCAGGCGATCGACACGCCATCATCGTGTCGCATTATCTGTGTGTGGCATGTGAAAGATGAACGGAGGCCAGCTTTGGTATGATGGTCATAGAAAGTTTCTAAGGACCTGACAGGTATTTAAGCTGAGATTTGATTTGATATTACTTGAGCAAAGAGAGGCGTTTACAAGGTGTTCTGGCAGAAGGAACAGCATGAGCAAAGGCCCTGGGGTGGGAAGGAGCCTGGGCTGTTTGAGGGGCTGAGAGAAGGCCAGTTCGCCTGGGGCATAGTGATGACAGGGAATGAGGTTCAAGAGCGGCCCAGGCAGAGGACAGAGCTCCGAAGGCCAATCTGAGGACTGGCTTTCGCTGAAGGGAAAACCCCCAAGAAAGGGTTTTAGTTGGTAGACAGTTACCATCGTTCAGCTGAGAGGTGACAGTGTCTTGGATCTTAGCCGTCCTGGTGTTGGAGAGAAATGTAGCAATCTAAGAAATATTTAGGGGACGGGGGAAGTTGCACAGTGTGGGGTTTGGCAGGGGGAATTGGAGTGTCTGATGGGAGGCAGATTGTGTATGGAACTCTGGTACCACTTCCCTTCTCATTTTCTTCCCGCCTGTCCCTTCCTCCTCATAGCTTCTCGCTGAATTCTGAGAGGGCGGAGAGGATGGCCACCGGGGTGCCGATGTCCGGCACAGGCGACACGGTCGAGATGGAGGACCCGGCAACCCACTTCCAGGTGCAGAAGCACTCGTGGGAAGGGCTCCGGAACATCATCCACGGCAGCCGCAAGAACTCGGGCCTGATCGTCAACAAGGCTCCCCATGACTTCCAGTTTGTGCAGAAGACAGACGAGTCCAGCCCCCACTCCCACCGCCTCTACTACCTAGGTAAGCCTCCCGTGTCCCCCGGGCCCTCTCGCTCCTTTGGGCCCGGGGGCTGCCCTGGAGCAGGTCAGTGTCTCTGGGACTGCTGTTACTAAGGCCTCTCATGTCCACAGGTCAACTGGTCCTCATGGTTAAAAGATCCAGACTGATGGGCCTGGCCCTGCGCCAGCTGCCATGCCCCCTACAGACATCAGGGTCAGCTGTGCAGGTGATGGGGCCAGAGGCCGGTGGGCCCATCTGTGCTGCAGGGTGCTATGGTTCGGGCCTGGAAAACAGGCCTGAGCCACTGAGATGGGTTCAGTACCAGGCAGCTGGGCCTGCCCCTGGGCTGGGCTTGGGAGCTGTGGGACTCCCTGCACAGCGGGAGCCACAGTAACTCCAGAGGCTCTGGCTGCGGAGGGAAGTGCTAAGGCCCGTGGAAAGCCCTGGCCGGTGGCTCAGCTGGCTGGAGTGTCATCCCATACACCAGCAAGGTTCCCAGTTCGATTCTCACATTCCTGGGTTGTGGGTTTGGTCCCCGGTCAGGGAGAGTATGAGAGGCAAACAGTCAGTGTCTTTGTCTCTCTCTTTCTAAAAATCAGTAAAACCATATCCTTGGCTGGAGAAATAAATAAATAAATAATAAATAAATAAGGCTCATGAAAGCTCTGTGATTGCACAATCGTACGCCCTGTGGTCTTAGCAACAGAGGATGGCTTGCCACTTTTTTGCACGGCTGCCCCAGATACCTGGGTAAGCATGTTAACAACTAATCACTTCCTTCTCCGTGTGTGTGCCTGTGGAGCAGCATTCTACACATCTGCAGTTGTTCACATGTGTGTTTCCTGCCGGGCCAGGTGGGCAGCTCCAGGATACCCTCGGCAGCCAAGCCTCGCCTGGCTTCTAGGAGGTAGACAGTTAATGTCTGCTGGGTAAGCGAATGTTGCCCAACTTCACCTAAAGGTGTCACGGAGCAGATACAGTTCCAAGTGTGTTTGAAAGCAGCGTGACACGTGATTGTTGACCCAAGGCAGGTTTCCGTGCTCAGCACTGTCAGCTTCCGGGGCCCGGATCAGTCCCTCCGTACCCTCAGCCCCTGGGACAGTGCCCATTTCTGGTCATGCCCTCTGCCCTCAGCCAGTATCGGAGTGAGTGATGGAATGGACGAATGAAGGTCATTCTGCCCGAGGTTAACCCCGTGCTATTGATTGTGACTGTGACCTAGATAGACATCAGACGGCCCGCCGCTTCCCACAGTCAATGCAGGCCCTCCCCATAGAGACCACGTGGAACCCGATGGCGGTTGGGCAAGCACAGGGTCAGAAAGGGGAGTGGATTAGCACGGGGGTCATCAAGTGACACCCGCTGCTTTGGAAATCTAGTTTTACTGATGCCCAGCACGCCCACTCGTTTATTTCTGTCGATGCTGCTTTTGCATATAGGTGACCTTTGCAAAGGTCAGTGGCCTGCACAGTTGAAAATATTTACTGTACAGCCCTTTACAGAAAACAGTTTGCCAGGCCTGGCCCAGGAGAAATTAGGGCTGGATGTGTGTGCTTCAAGCTTCATTTAGCCGAGGAGGAGCTTGGCTGTTAGGACTGAAAGTGGCCAAGATTCAAGGAGTGTGGGGAGCTGTTGCCTCTTTTCCCTGCAGTTTCCTGGCCCCCCTCAGTCCCTTTTTCCACTTTCTTTGGTCACTCACTCAAGTTCAGATTCCATCCAGGTCAAGGTACTTATCTGAGTTTCCTTGGGCTGCTGCTGTAACAGAATACCAGCAAGTGAGTAGGTGGCTTAGAACAACCAAGGCTGACCCTCTCACAGTCGGGGCATCAGAACTCTAATCCGTTTCTCTGGGCTGAAAGCGAGGAATTGGCAGGGCTGCAGGGGGCTCCTGCAGAGGCTCTAAGGGAGAATCGCTTCTGGCCTCTTTCAGCTGCGGGTGGCTGCTGCATTCCCTGGCTTGTAGCTACATCGCAGCAGTCTTTGCCTCCGTGGTCACATCGCTGCCTCCTCTGTGTCTGAAGGCTCTCTGCCTCCTTACAAGGCATGATTACATGTAGATAATCCACCCTAATCTCCCCAGTTTAAAATTCTTAACTTAATCCCATTTGCAAAATCCCTTTTGCTAACATATTCACAGATTCTGGGGATTAGGGTGTGGACATCTTTGAGAGCCATCTACAGAGCTGCTGGAAGGGACAGAAATCTCTGAGCTCCTTTGAGCCACCAAGTACACCTTGTAGTCAGGTCGCAGGGGCATCTCTGGGTACCCAGCCCCCCACCCCCACCCCAGCCCCCTGCGTGTGTTCTTCTCCCTGGTCCACTTTTACTGCCCTGCCGTCCGCGCCCAGGGTTTCTCGTCTAGGGTTCTAGCCGACAAGAGATGGGTTTCTGGGAAAAGGAATCAGATCGGCTCAACAGAAATCAGATGTTCACTTGTCCAATTGGTCATGGCCTGTGGGTATGTCTGTAGCTGGGGCGGGCCGGTACCCGAAGTCCACAGAAGGCTCTGAGGGCCCATCCCAGTGAGTAGGAGTGACTGGAGACAAGGGCTATGGGCCCGGCAAAGTCCCCAAAGTGAACTGATCCAGTTTGAATCACTCAATATCCTCAGGGTACCCTTGACTTCACTTCACGTCCAAGTTTCTGGGGTAGCCCTCCAGACCCCCCCAAGTATTTATAACACGGCTTTGCACTACCCGGCACCTGAGCATGCTGGCAGTCAGCGGCTCTGTGGATGGAACAGAAGGGGCCTCCAAGGGCGATGCCTCGCCTGCCACTCGAAGCGCCACCTCCCCCTGCTTTCCCTGAGACCCCTGCCTCCTCGGGCACCAGGCTTTGCCAGTCAGGGCATGTGGAGCCAATCACTGAGTCCTCAGGGAACGCTCTTCCAGATGCACCTGATGAAGCCCAGTGCACTCCAGGTGGATCAGAGAAGGGACTGTCGGCTACTGCTGCCAGGAAGGTGGGGTGGCGGTGGCCAGGTTCCAGGGCTCAAACCGCAGCGTCAGGAAAGCCTCTCCTGGCTCTCCTGCCCCTCCCCGGGGCACAAGAGCCTCTCGTACAGGACAGGGAGGGCGCAGGGCCCCAGGCAGCTCTGAGGGCCCTTTAGGCAGGAAATACAAGACCACTGTGTTACGTCCAGATCCAGGGTTCTATGCCCCACCAGGCCAGTCACCCAGGCCACAGTGCATGGTGGTAGAGGTGGTGGTTGCATTTGAGATGGGGTGCTGTTCCTATAGAAGGGACAGAGCTGGAATGAGAAGGCAGAGGAGGGGCAGTGAAGGCAGAAATCAGTGGTAGTCATTGGTCATCTCAGACCCCTGCCTTGCATGCCGATCATCACCAACACTGGTGCTGAGGGCAGCTCATCCAGGGAATGTGCTAGCTTAGGCCATCAGCTGGGGAGGTGGTGGTCCCAGTATCCTTGGCAAGGCCTCACCCTTGACTTCCCATTTGGAAAGCTCCAGCTGTCCCACAGAACTCTGCAGACAGAGGTTGTCCAGAGCATGAGCAGTGGGCAGTGTGGCCGGGCAGTGTGATGTCTGTGCCTCCAGCTGGGGATGAAACAAATGGAAGTAGCTTAAAGGGTCCTTAGGCATCGAACTGTGAGTGCTGCCCACCTGCCCATCTAAGTTAACTTCATATTTTCCTTAAATCTACTGTTAAAGGAGCCCTTACTAACCTAGTAATTCTCTTTAAATATGCTTGTATTTTGCTAACTATACTTGGTGAGCAACTTTATCATAAGTGGAAAACCCATGTCACTTGCCATATCAAGAAGCTACCTATAAAGATAACTAAATAGAACAATTATTTTTATTATTTTGGTCAATCCTCACCCAGTGATATTTTTTCCATTGATTTTTAAAGAGCATGGAAGGGATGGAAGGAAAGGGAGAGAAAGAGAAAAAGAGAGGGGGAGAGGGAGGAGGCAGGGAGGAGAAACATTGATGTGAAAAACTGACATCAGTTGGTTGCCTCCCGCACACACCCCAATGGGGACCCAGAGATCAAACCTGCAACCCAGAGGTGTGCCCTTGACTGGGAATCAAACCTGTGACTCTTCGGTGCATGGGCAGCACTATAACCACTGAGCTACTGGCCAGGGCTCTGCCGTTAACTTTATTAACAGCAATTGTATTGTCATCCATCCAAAGTAAAGACATTACTGTTTGGAAGATCTGCCATTGTTTTATTTGCCACTAAAAACAGGACAGCACCTTCAACAAGAAGACACACCTCAACATAAGAGATGTAAGAATATGAAAAATTGCAACTTACTAGAATTAGGTTGATGTCTCTGAGTGGCATATGCTAAGTGCTTTGTATTTCTTACCTCATTTAATCCACACAGAATCCTCACTGCAGCTGCTGTAGTTTTATAGATAAGGTTAGGTCAGTGGTTCTGTCGTGGAGGTTCTGTACTCCAGGGGACACTGGGCAACGACATCTATAGTCATCACGACTAGGGGTGCTCCTGGCATTGAGCGGATGGGGCCAAGGGTGCTGCTACACATGCCACAGTGCCCAGGTCCCAGTGTCACCAGTGCCAATGGAAGAGATGCTTGACTAGACACACACCTGCTCTAATCCTAGAGCAATTCCTGGCCTTTACAAAAGCTTTTAATAAAGGACATTGAAGACCGGAGCCTCGCCTGTTGAGAGCTGGCTAGCCCTGACCAGCCTTTTTTTATTCTATTGTGTGTGTGCTGTTTCTTCAGTAATTTAGTTCAAGAAATTCAGGACACACATCTCTGCTGTGGAGGATCTGGTACTACTGCGGACATGCTTAAACCTGGGTTCGTAGCTTCTCTGGGGAGGGGTGTGCAGCCAGGTTGTGTTGGCAGGATGACATAGAAGCAGAAGGAACCAGCTGGGCCCAGGCATGGAGAGCCTGAGGCTGGCCCTGCCCTGTGCTGGACCAAGTCACCCATTCTGTTTTCTCCTCTTGCCCAAGGGATGCCTTATGGCAGCCGAGAGAACTCCCTCCTCTACTCCGAGGTCCCCAGGAAGGTCCGGAAGGAGGCTCTGCTGCTCCTGTCTTGGAAGCAGATGCTGGACCATTTCCAGGTGAGCTGCGCCTGTTGGGTCCTGCCTGTGGGCGAGGGAGGTGCCAGGTCCTCAGACTGCACACCATTTCTGTGGGTCCTCAGCTCGGCGTCCAGGCCAGCCACTTAATTCATGCACACTGCAGAGCAGAGCTTCCTGCTCACCGCAGCCCTCCCCTCTCCTTCCTCTTCCCCCCTTTCTTTTCCCCTTCCTTCTCCCCTCTCCCCTCTCCCTTTCCCCTCTCCGCCAGTCTGTGCTCAGCCCCCGAGTCTAGGCTTCTGATAAGAGTGCTTATCAAAGCATCTCTTCCTTTTAAATGCCTCACCAAAGACTTGAACTGACTTGGGCCAGGCCTTTTTATGGAGTCTTGGCTAATCATTAATGTCATCCAGAGTTGACTCGGTTCCAGGGAGAAGGATGACGGGTGAAGAACGAGAGTGCCTTTTTCATTGGTTAGTTTAGTTCTGTAAAAGGAAGTTGACAGCAGGGTGTGGGGGATGACACACTCTGAGTTTCTCCATGCCAACGCAACAGCTCTTCCTTTTGCCTGCCCCACTTAGTCCCCAAGCCAAGGAGACACAGCTTTTGTCTCAGCATATAGTAATTTTGCTTTGGGTTCTGCTTTTTTATTTTATTTATTTATTTAAGTTTTTTATTTTTTAATTGATCTCAGAGAGAAGGAAGAGAGAGAGATAGAAACATCAATCATGAGAGAATCATTGATTGGCTGCCTCCTGCACACCCCTATTGGGGATTGAGCCTGCAACCTGGACATGTGCCCTTGACCGAAATCGAGCCTGAGTCCCTTCAGTCCACGGGCTGATGCTCTATAAGACTTGGGTTCTGCTTTTTCAAAAAGGCATTTCTTATCATTAATGTTCCTCTCCATCTCCATGTCATCTTCAGAACTCTCCTTGCCCACAATATTTTAGCTGCCTAGACCGCCAGGGTTGAATGTGTGGGTGGTCAGGTGGTCTGGAATTTGTCCCGCCCCCCATCTGTGCAGAAAGTATGACTGATGTTAGGTGGGTTCAGATCGAATGCTCTTGGCAGGAAGAGGGGGTGAAGAGGGTGGAGGCGCCTGTAGGGTTGGCGTTGGGGACCTGGGAAGAGCAGTCCAGCAGGGTATCCCCATGCTGGGGGGCAGAGGACAGTCCTCTCTGCCATGGAGGTTTCATGGGAAAGGGGCACAGGGAAGCCCTGAGGCGGGCAGGAGGGGAGGAGCTCCATGTAAGACCTGGAAAGGACTCTGCCACCCGTTCTCCGTGCAGCGCTGCTCATCAGAACGTTCTCTCTAGCGTGGACCCAGGTCAGATAGTCAGGTCCCCCCTGGTAGTGCCCAGGTGCCAGGGCCTCTGGCTGCTGACACTGGCACCTGTCTCCCGTGTACCCCCAGGCCACGCCCCACCACGGGGTCTACTCTCGCGAGGAGGAGCTGCTGCGGGAGCGGAAGCGCCTGGGCGTCTTCGGCATCACCTCCTACGACTTCCACAGCGAGAGCGGCCTCTTCCTCTTCCAGGCCAGCAACAGCCTCTTCCACTGTCGGGACGGGGGCAAGAATGGCTTCATGGTGAGCGCTGCCCCTCGCTGCGGTGGGGTGGCAGGTGGGCGGCATCCTGCCCCCCCTGAGCCAGGCCTCTCTGTCTCCAGGTGTCCCCCATGAAGCCATTGGAAATCAAGACCCAGTGTTCTGGGCCTCGGATGGACCCCAAGATCTGCCCTGCCGACCCCGCCTTCTTTTCCTTCATCAACAACAGTGACCTGTGGGTGGCCAACATTGAGACAGGCGAAGAGCAGCGGCTGACTTTCTGCCACAGGGGTAAAGCGGGCAGAGGGCGCCAAGTCCTGGCCAGGGTGGGCAGGAACCTGCACCGGGGGGGTGGTCTGTTGGGCCAGGCCCAGCTCAGCACCTTCCAGGCATAGTCATCAAAGGCACCAGTCCAGCTTCTAGAAAATACCCTGCCCCCACTCCACCCTCCCTGACCCCAGGCACCTTCCTGAACCCGGCTCTCACAAGCAACCCTCCTGTGTGGCCCTCTGTGGCCTCCCTCCACCAGATACTTATTCTGCACCTCTGATCCCTCAGCCCCTCCCACCTCTGCTCTCCTTTCTGACTCTGTGGTTCAAGCTCAGATCTCACCTGCTCCCCGAGTTTTCTCTCCTGCCCTTCCTCATTGGAAGGTGACCTTCCCCTTCTAAAGATGTTTTCAGAACTCTGCACCTGGCGTGGCCGCAGACCTGCCCCCCTGTCCTGCCCCACAGCCCTGGTGCCCTCGCTCTAAACCTGAGCAGCTCAGCCAGGAGCAACTCGGACACTGGCCATGTCCAGGGACACTTTTCCTTGTCATAGCTGGGTGGGGATGTCCTGGGGTCGAGTGGGTGGGAGTTCAGAGATGCTACTCAGCACCCCGCAGTGCTCAGGACATCCCCCTACAGAGAATGTGCTGACCCCAGTGATAGTGTCGAGGGGGAGAAACCTGCTTTAAATGAGACTCCTCACCTCGTCCTGCTTCCTCCTCCTCCAGGCTTGTCCAACGTTCTCGAGGACCCCAAGTCTGCAGGCGTGGCCACCTTTGTCATCCAGGAAGAATTCGACCGCTTCACCGGCTACTGGTGGTGTCCCACAGCCTCCTGGGAAGGTAGGTCCCTTTCCATTTAAAAAGAAATGCTTCTGTTGTCCTGGCCAGTGGGTAAGTGGTCTGAGCATTGGCCCGTGCACTGAAGAGTTGTGGGTTCGATTCCTGGTCAAGGGGATGTACCTGGGTTGCAGGTTTGATCCCTGGCCCAGGGCAGGTGCTAGAGGCAACTAATTGATGTGGCTCTCTCCATTCGATGTTTCTCTTTCTCTCTCTTCTTTCTCCCCCTCCCTCCCTTCAATTCTCTCTAAAAATCAATGGAAAAAATATTCTTGGTTGAGCATTAACAACAAAAATGCTCTATGTACACTTCTTTTATTAATAGACTTTTCTGCTGTTTGCACTTTTCACTTTAAAGAAACCTCAGGAGCCTTTCTATTGATGTCAGTGTCTCAGTCCATTTGAGCTGCTGTAACCACACCGCACTTTGGGGCGGTTATAAACGGCGCTTACTTACATCTCATGGTTCTCAAGGCTGGTTGTTCAAGTAAAGGCGCCAGGAGATTCAGTGTCTGGTGAGAACCTCTTCCTGGTTCACAGATGGCACCTTCTTGCTGTGTCCTCATGTCGTGGGGTCTCTTTCCTAAGGACACTTACCCGAGGGCTCCCTCCTTATGACCTAATCACCCCCCAAAGGCCCATCATATAGTGCCATTATATTGGGGATAGGCTTTCACATTTGGATTTGGGGGGACACAATCCATTGCAGTCAGCACACAAAGAGCTCTTTGGAGCGTGAATGTGCCATGGTTTATTGAGCTAGCTCTTTTGGTTGTTTCTAGTTGTGGGTTTTGGTTTTATTTTGGGGTCATAACCAATACTCCTATGAATACCTTTATACACCGATCCTGGCGGGTGATCTTCTGGGCGTATATCAGTCGTTCTCATCTGGAGTGAACCTGCCTTTAGGGGACATTGCACAATGTCGGGAGACACCTGTTTGTCACACCGGAAGCACAGCGCTGCCACTCCCAAGCCACACGGCCTCAAGCCAGCCACTCAGCCTCTTAGGCATCCAGTGGCCGCCCTAACGCAGGTGTGGAGCAGGCGGAGGCTTATGGAGACATCTTTGGTCTGTCCACAGTGGGTCTTAGGGGAAAACAGAAAGCAGCAGTGGCTAAGGAAGGAAAGGGCCTGCTGAGGAAGGAGCGGCCACGGCTCTGTCCCTGTGACGGCAGCTTGGCCAGTCACCCCACTCCTTTCTCAGCTGTTACACCCAGTGATCCACGTGTTCTCACAATGATCTTTATTGTAATTCTTCTGGAGACAGGTGTTAACTGGGCTGCTGAACCTGCTCCCGCAGACCGCGGGCCTCCCTGACAGACACTTGTCTCACAGTGCTCGAGTCTGCAAGTCCCGGGTCAAGGTGTCAGCGCCTTGGCCCCTCTCCTTGGCTTGTTCTCCCCGTCTCCTCACCAGTCTCCCTGTGTGCATGTCTGTTCTTAATCTCTTCTTATAAGGACACCAGCCGTATTGGATTAGGGCCCAACCTAGTGACCTCATTTTGCCTTAACCACCTCTTCAAAGATCCCATCTCCAAATACAGTCACATTAAGAGGTCTGCAGTTAGGGCTTCAACATAGGGATTTGACAGGAACATAACACACTTCAGCACACGAACCCCCTCCGTAGCCATTTCCCACATCGTTTTGTGCTGGGAATAATTCAGGCTTTGTCACCGTTGTGCAGTGAGGGAACTGAGGCCCCAGAGGAGGTGTGACTGGCTGAAGGCCTAATATAGGGCAGCCCCGGGTTCCAGCCCGAAGGCTCATGCTCGTGCCTGGGCCCAGCTGTGGCACAGCAGTCCCTCCCGTGCACGGGATGGGTGGCCTCCTGGCACCCTCAGTGGTGTCCCTGCCTCCTCCCAGGTTCAGAAGGCCACAAGACACTGCGAATCCTGTACGAGGAGGTCGACGAGTCCGAGGTGGAGGTCATTCACGTGCCCTCTCCTGCACTAGAAGAAAGGAAGACAGACTCGTACCGATACCCCCGGACAGGTGAGTGCCCGGCACAGGTGGGGATGGCTGGGCAGTTGGCTGAGACTTCGTAGAGCAAGGTGAGGCACCAGCTAGAGTGGACGCCAGGAGCAGGAGCAGGCCGGGCTCGGGAACAGCAGCAGGGCCAGCGGGGGCTCTGGAGACAGAAGAAGCTAGGGGGAGATTGTGATGGGTTTGGGCCCCAACCTGGGGCGCATCAGACATTCACCACCTTGTGAGGGTACGGACTCGAGTTTGCCTCTTTCTCAAGAGAAACTGTAAATCCAGACTCATTTGAGAAATCACCCAGGTCTTTTTAAAAAATATATTTTTATTGATTTCAGAGAGAAGAAAGGAGAGAGAAATACAGAGAAACGTCAGTGATGAGAGAAAATCATTATTGGCTGCCTCTGCACACCTGAGAATCGAGCCCAAATCAAACACGACCTCCTGATTCATAGGTCGATGCTCAACCACTGAGCCACACTGGCTCGGCATAAATCTCCCAATTCTTAAATGTTGCTCGAATTATTTAAAAATACTTAGTAAGCCCAGCCGGGTGTGGCTCAGTGGTTGAGCATCGACCTTAAACCAGGAGGTCAGGTTTGATTCCCAGTCAGGGCATATCCTTGGGTCGCAGGCTTGATCTCTGGTGAGGGGTGTGCAGGAGGCAGCCAATTGATGATCCTCTCTCATCATTGATATTTTTATCTCTCTGTCACTTTCCCTTCCTCTCAAAATTAATAAAAATACATTTTAAAAAGATAAAAACAAAAATACCTAGTAAGCCAAACAAAATGGCCAGGTTCTGCCTGCAGGCCTCTTGTTTGCCGCCTCCAACGAAGCAAATAAAAGAGTTGTTCTCGCTACCTGCAGCCAGCAGCCCCTCCTGTCTGCCAAGCTGGCAGAGCCTCCTAGAGGATACTTCCAACCCCCAGTGCAAATGGGAAAAGTGAGTCTCCTCCCTCCCCACTTGACAGAAGAGAGCTCTGAGGCTCAGGGCCTTCCCTGCCGGGTGCTAGGGCTCCGAGTGCCACAGCTGAGATTCGTCATAGAAACGCCTGGAGCCTGCACCAAGTCCCACCTCTGGGGACGCCTCAATTCCAGTCTACAAGCCACCTGCCCCCCCTGGGCTGGGGCCCGATGTGTCACATGGGATGTGGGCCACCTTTCTGCATTGTCGGTGGTTTTATCATGTCCCGTCTTCACAGCCAGACTTCAGGCTCTCCAAAGGCAGCAGGTGTCTTCCTCGTGTATGTTCTACCATGACCTCTCCCTCAGCTAGAGGTTGTCCATCACTCTGTCTGGATGAAGTCCTGGCCCAAAGTCAGAAAGTCCTGCTCAAGGACTGTGTGCCTGGACCAGGGAGGGAGACCCGCCCCTGGAGAGACCTGTGGACACCCTTCCTTCCCCCTGACCCCCTGTCTCCTTTCTGTGCTCCCCTGCACCCTCCACCCCAACACCCGCTCTCACCCTGCATGGGCGGCACTGGCAGGCTCACCTCACTTTCATTTCTGTAGGTAGCAAGAATCCAAAGATCGCCTTGAAGCTGGCCGAGTTTCAGACTGACAGTCAAGGCAAGGTAAGAGGGCCAGAGAGCCCGAGGAGCTCTGGGTGAGAAGGGGGGGTCAGGGTGCGATTGGAGCTGGGTAGGTAGTTGGAAGCATCAGCAGGCCGCTCACCCCCTTCCCCAGGCAGGTGCTCCTCTTGGCCAACTGAGTGCAAAACAGCACCGTCCAGAGCTCTGCTTCCGGGCTGGGCCCTGCTGCCCCGTCACTGCACCTCACTCTGGAATGCCAAGAGGCCCTCCTCACTTAGGGAGTTGTCAGGAGGGCAAGAGCGGCTGTGACGGAGAAGGGCTGTGGGGATGTCAGGCCCCACACGTCAGAGGTTAGAGTTCAGACAAGCTGAGAAAGCCCTCGCATATTTTTGCCAAGATGCATCCTTGTGTAATGTTTCAGAAGAAAGCGTATGATAAACTACACTTACTCTAGTAATTGAGGAGTCGGTTTTTGTTCTGGGCAAAATTCAGCCCTAACCAGACCCCTTCTCCACTCTTGACCAGAGTATCCGTGCAGATTCAACACAGATCAGCCCCAAGCGGCTTTGTTGTAAACAGACCCTGGCTCTGTCAGACAGACAGGGTCCTGCAGGGGGATGCGTTATACCAACCGAACAGGCAGTTGGGATGTTTAGGGGGCTGGCCGCTGGGGTGTGGGGCATGCTAAGGCCCTGCCTGCCTTCTCCTCCTGGGGAAATGCCATGCCAGCCCCATTTAGGCTCCAGGAAACTGGCATTCGGAGACTGTCTTGCCCAAGGCCACCTGGCTTTGCGGTGACAGTCCGCATAACCACCCTGGTTTCCAGCCTGTCATAATGAAGTCCCACAGACAGCGTGACTTAAACAACAGAAGTTTATTGTCTCACAGTTGTGGAGGCTAAAAGTCTGAAATCAGGGTGTCGGCAGTGCTGGTTTCTCCTGAGGCCGTGATAAAGGACCTGTCGGGCCTCTCTCCTTGCCTTGTAGTCGGTCGCCTTCTCCCTGTGTCTCGTCACAAGACACTACCTATGTGATACCGTGTCCACATTTCCAACACCAGTGCTGTTGGATGGGGGCCACCCTACTCCTGTATGACCCCACCTTAACTAATGACATCGGTAGCCACTTTATTTCCAAATAAGACCCCATTGGGAGGGACGAGGGCTGAGGACCTCAGCGTGTGGATTTGAGGGGGTACACAGTGTGCCCTTAACAGTGACTGTCTACTCCTGGGTAGCATGTAATGAGGCCGGAGCGTGACTGAGTCTGTTTTCCCTGTAGATCGTCTCGACCCAAGAGAAGGAGCTGGTGCAGCCCTTCAGCATGCTCTTCCCCAGGGCGGAATACATCGCCCGGGCTGGGTGGACCCAAGACGGCAAATAGTGAGTCTCTGTCAGACAGGATCTAGGTTTTTTATATTCAGGACCTGGGTGGGCCACTCCTCTCTACCCCCTACCTCCACCCCTATCATAAGAATCATGGATGCCGAAACCGGTTTGGCTCAGTAGATAGGGCATCGGCCTACGGACTGAAGGGTCCCGGGTTCGTTTCCGGACAAGGGCATGTACCTTGGTTGCAGACACATCCCCAGTGGGGTATGTGCAGGAGGCAGCTGGTCGATGTTTCTCATCGATGTTTCTAACTTTCTATCCCTCTCCCTTCCTCTCTGTAAAAAAATCAATAAAATATATTTAAGGGGGTGGAAAAAGAAGCATTTCACTGGCTTCCTAGCCCTTCTGCTCAGATCGTAGACAAACATCTCTAACCAGGTCCTAAAGCATGGCCCCGGGGCCAAGTCCTCACCACCCACGTGTTGTTGTTTTTTTGTGAGGCCCAGGAGCCAAGAATGGTTTTTATGATTTTAAATGATTTGGGAGGGGGGTGCGGGGGGGAGTGTCTAAAGAATAATATATCATACATGAGAGTGATATGAAACCCACAATTCAGTGTGTGTAAATAAAGTTTTATTGGCACAGGGCCACACTCATTCTCTACAGCTTGTCTGTGGTTGCTTTCAGATGACAGGAGCAGGGTTGAGTAGTTGTGAAGGACGCCTGTGGCCCACAGAATTGAAATACTCACTGGCCCCTTTACAGAAAGGGTGTGCATCCCTCGCTCCAAACACTTCCCAGACTCCCTTCATGACAGAAACAGCTAGACTCAGACCACAGGCTCTCGCTGGAACCTCCCATCCCTATGATGTTGCTCTTTTTTAATATCTATATGTATTTAAAATTTTTACTTTATTTTATTGATTTCAGAGAGCAAAGGAGAGGGAGAGATAGAAACATGAGTGATGAAAAAGAATCATTGATCAGCTGCCTCCTGCAGGCCCCACACTAGGGATCGAGCCTACAACCTGGGCATGGGCCCTGACCGGGAATGGAACTAACCTCCTGGTTCAACCACTGAGCCACGCCAGCTGGGCTGAAATTGCTCTTTCATTTGGTTTTAGTTGCTTCCTGTTTATTTTGAGATGTTGCCTTTCCACTTACAGTACTGATAGGTCCCCATTTAAAATACATTTACGTTAAAAATAGTCACGTTACAGCCAAGTATGAAATCAAGGATGGTGTGTGTAGGTGAGGATTTGACAGAAATTACTGCTCTTTGGTTTAATGATGTAAGACGTTTCCGGAAGTCAGGTTGTGGAGTGCTGTCAGCCCTCTGGAGCATGCATTCCAGCCAGGACACCGTGAGTCCCTGGATTACTTGGTTGGGTATCGGCAACGTTGACAAAAGGGGGCGCCAGTCACCAGTTTCTGTCTGCTGGCCCCTGAGGCCCCTGGCTTCTCTTTCGCCCTCTCAGCGCCTGGGCCATGCTCCTGGATCGGCCCCAGCAGCAGCTCCAGCTCGTCCTCCTGCCGCCAGCCCTGTTCATCCCCACCACCGAGAGTGAGGAGCAGCGGGAGGCCTTCGCCAGAGCTGTGCCCAGTAACGTCCAGCCGTACGTGGTGTACGAGGAGGTCACCAACGTGTGGATCAACGTAAGGGCGGGGAGGGGCTGGGCGTGCATCCCGGGTCCCCACGTGGAGGAGTGAGCTCGGGCCGGCCTCCCCCGGCCAGGGAGGGAGAGTCCACGGGCTGGGCTTGGCCTCGCCTTCCTCGGCAGAGTGTGCGCTCACCCGAGTGTCTTCCCTCTTCTGCCCGGGCAGGTTCATGACATCTTCTACCCCTTCCCCCAATCAGAGGGGGAGGACGAGCTCTGCTTCATCCGCGCCAACGAAAGCAAGACCGGCTTCTGCCACTTGTACAAGGTCACCACCGTGCTGCAGCCCCGTGGGTACGACTGGAGCGAGCCCTTCAGCCCCGGGGAAGGTGAGCAAGCCTGACTAACCCATTGCTCATCGAGGCTGCCGGCTGAGGTTCAGTGCTCCTTTGTTCACTGATCCCACCCTGTGACTAAGCCGCCCACGGGCGAGACTTAGCCTTTGCTGTCCGTCATTCACACCCCGCAGGGGTTACCGTAGCTGCCTGTTCATTCATTCAGTCAGCAGTGGTTATTGAGCGCCTGCCAGGTGCCAGGCCCTTCTTACACCAGGGGTCGGCAAACTATAGCTGTAGGTCAATCCCAGCCCCTCTGCCTATTTCTGTAAAGTTTTTTTGACACATGGTCACACCCAGTCGCTTATATGTCCTCTGCGGCTGTTTTTGTGCCACGATGGTGGAGTTAAGTAGTAACCCAAAAACCATGAAGGATGCTGTCCCGGGAGTGATGAGCATGAGGGGCTTTCCTTCCAGAACTGGTGGTTAGGAGAACGTCTCTGGATAATGTGCCGTGGAGCAGGGACCCGGAGGATGGGGTAAAAATGGCAGAGGCAGCCACACAGAGCTCCAGGCCTATGAGCAGCCCATACAAAGGTCCTGGGGCAGGACCATGTCTGCATGTTAAGGGAACAGCAAGGAAGCCTGTGTGACTGGAGCAGAGTGAGTGAGGGGAGAGAAGGGTGGGGCAGGTCGTGTAGGGCCTTGTGAGTCTTGGAGAGAACTGGGGCATTTACATTGGTCTTCCACCAGTTTAAATTATTCCTGAGGTTGTCGTGTGGAACGTAGCCTGAGGGGTGAGGAGAGGGACAGGAACAGGGGTCAGGCACTGGGGCTGGGCTGACCCAGTGATTCGATGCACTCTGCACCTTGACCACTAGCTGACATGGTTTGCCTGTGGATTGGATGTAGAGCCTGAGAGCGAGAGGCTGGCTCAGACACCATTTGTTCCGTCACAGGTCTATTCTGAGATGGAAAGACTCTGAAAGGGACAGTTTTAGGAGAGAACAATCCAGAGGTGGGTTTTGGACGAATCCAAGGTGAAGAGCTCAGTAGTGGGAATGCTGCATGGGCAGGTTCGTGTGCTCGGAGTTCTGGGGAGAGAACGTATTGTGATGGGAGCGTGGCCGTCCTCACACTTGGATGGCATCCCAGCCCCTGGACAGGACAGAGTGCCTCAGGGCCGAGCCTGGGTGGGGAAGCCGTGTGGCCTGCAAGGTCAGCCCAGCTCCTCAGCTTGGAGCAGGGTCTCTCCTGTGGGCACTGCTGACCTCAGGGCCGGGTCATTTTCTGCATGGTCGTCCTGGGCATGGGGGGAGTTCCACATCACCCTGACCCCCACCCACTCCCCCAGTGTGGTGACCATAGATGCTCCCAGGTGTCACCCAGTGTGTGGCTGCCTCCGCCAGGATTGCCCTACAGTTTAGAGGTAGAGCCTGCAGATGAGCCTCAAGCAGCCACCTGCACAGGGGACAGAGACCCGAGTGAGGATGTGCTCAGGGTGCCAGGAGCCGAGGGGGGCCCGAGTGTCAAGAGGCAAAGCCACAAGTTCTGAGGGGTTGGGTAAGGCTGGGACTGAGGAGTGACTGCTGTCTCAGGCACTGTCACTCGGGGTTTGATGCGGCCCCACATGCCGCCCGAGCCACCTCCACGGAGTTTACTTTAGCTCATTGGTGTTGCTGCTTTTTGGCTTACTGACCCCACCTGGTTGCGGGAAGTGTCACTTGAAAAGTCCTCATTTCTGCCTCTTGAAATGGGCCAGCTGAGCTCAAAGGTAGAGCGGAGCTCAAAGCAAGTGGTAGAGCGGAGCTCAAAACAGGTGCCTCTCGGGAGCCCTGCTTCTGACTTGGGCACGCCCGGTTTCCCATGCCCTGTGTGTGCCTCCGCTGCAGGCCCATCTCACACTCTGTCACATGTCTTCCGCCTGCTCGATGGCCGTTGGACAGAGGAGAGGACGTGACCTCATTCGCTTTAGATCAGGAGGAATGAGTTCTTTAAAGACAACCTCCAGGCGTCCTGTACAGTCGAGGGAGGCCGGTAGCCTGTTGGAATGCACAAGCAGCAGGACAGTGATGGCGCTGGCACTGAAGTATCGGTGTGACATGTGCTTTCACAGAGGACAGTCCTGCTGGAGAGGCCCAGCAGGCATGCTTGGCAGGGCCTCTGGGCCAAGAAAAACATGGGCTTGAATTTGGATAGCCAAGAAGACTCAGGAGCGAGAGCGGGGCATAGGGCTCAGATGGGTTGGAGTGAGACGGGGCGACCAGCCAACTGCGCCAGAGTCCGTGCCTCAGCGGGAAGCCTCGGGTGGCTGGAGAATTGAGGAGGAGCAAGGCTGGCCTGGGATGCAGACACTGTAGACCGGCATTTGGCCATTGGTGGGGCTGGTCTGGACAGTGTAAGTCTGCTGTGGTGCAGGTGGGTCTCTGTGCTTTGTGTCCCCATCACAGCTTCACCTCTTTTCCTTTCCTTCCTTCCAGATGAATTTAAGTGCCCTGTCAAGGAGGAGATCGCGCTGACCAGCGGTGAATGGGAGGTTTTGGCCAGGCATGGCTCTAAGGTACCAGCGTCTCCATGCACACTTGTACATGCACAGGCTCAGAGACGCACACTTCTGGTCCCTCTCGAGACCTCTTGTGCTTGTGGCTCCCTGCCCCCACCTGACTACCCCTCACTCCTGCCCTGCCCCCTCCACAGCCCCAGCGTGCCCAAGGCCAAGGCTGGAGGCACACTGGGTCCAGGATCAGGGCCCCTTCTGAGCACATTCTCAGGGCCACAGGGAGCTTTCTTTTATCCTCCTTTCACTCCATGAAACCACTCAACCCTGGAAGACAGTTTGTGGGACACTTGGGGTGTCCACTGTGGGATCGTCTTGCAGCTTCCAACCAGGGCCCAGCCCCACGCTTGCCAGAGGGGAGAGTCAGGAGCAAAGGATGTAACCACAGGGAAGACCAGAGGCGTATGTTCTATCCCCCCAAGCACACCTCTTAAAGACACAGCGCGACTTTGCCTCTGGCTACAGCATCTTCACAGGGTCCAGGTCTACGAAATCCCAGATTTCACAAAGGGTCCCCTTAGTCAGATTTCCTGGTCCCTACTTCACACCAGCATAAATGCCTCATGGACCAAAGACAGACATGGTAGCACACGTGTGTTCCTCACAGTGCTCTTCATATGGTGAGAAGTAGCAGTCAGTAGACACTGGAGTAGCCAGCGGTGACAGGCAGATCCAGGCTCCGTAGGGAACCGTGTTGGTTACAGCAGAGCCACACCTGACAGAAAGCCCTGTCACCGACTTGTGAAGCCATCACTGCAGATTGTTGGGAAAGAAGTTGTAAAACCAGGGAGCACAGTCCCAACTCGATCAGATTTTACATCGTCATCTTTACACGAGGCAAGGGGGCCAGAAAGTTGGGCACCCAGAGGTTAAAGGACAGTCACTTATTCTTAGTGGCTGTGCCTGGTTGCAGTCAGTTTTGCTGGAGGTGTTCCCCCTCCCTTTCCCCCAACCCCAGCTCTTAGCTAGCCCTGCCCCCCAGGAGTAGCTGGGTACTAAGACTCCATTTCCCCATTTGTGAAGTGGGACCATCTAGTAGCTCTAATTCTTTCATCTTGACAGCTGGTCTCTCCCTTGTTATTGCTGACTTCGAGGCCAGATGATTCTCTGTGGGGTCGTCCTGGGCACTGCAGGGTTGAGCAGCCTCCCTGGCTCCCACCAGCTCTCCCAGTTGTGACAACCACAGCTGTCCCCAGACATAGCCAGTGTCCCCCGGGGCAGCACCACGCCGGTGAGGACCCTGCTTTAAAGTACTTTGAAGCCCTTGGCATACAGGGGTTTGGCTCACACATAAGCCCGCATCATCCCTTTCTCTGTCACTGAACATTCCAGGCCTTGCCTTATCTCTTTACCAGAAAGTAAAAAACAAAAGGAGCTAGTGACCCTCTAACATCTCTGCCTGAGATCGTGTGCCCCGGCCTCTTTCTGCGCTCCCTCTGGAAAGATGTGGCTCCCTCGCCTGGAGAACGCGATTTCCCGTTTGTTTGTTTGCCAAGGACGACCTCTATTTCTAGAAAACCTGTATTAAAACGTTTGGTAACAGTGAACACCAGTGTTTGTTACAGTAACTGAATCGTTCTAGATAAGACGCACATCGGAATCCCCTTCCGCCCTCACCCTGCGTCTGCAGCCTCTGCCCCTGCTTGGCGGGGACCACGGGGAAAACCCTGCGGGCCTTCCCTGTTGGCGCACATCATTTTAGGGGATTTCTAGAGGATTTTTAGAAAGTACATTTTCTTTGTGGACACGAGAATTGTGCCATAGTTATGGGAATAATTCCACCTTTTTGGACACTGCAATTGTCACCTTTTTTTAGCCTTAAGAGCACTTTGAGCATCTTTGTCCCTCCATTTTGAAATCCCCTACTGGGTGATGTCCTCAGGAACAGTTCCCAGAGGTCTCATCGCCAGGTCAGAGGACACACTTTTTTGTTTGGCCTCCATGTTGCCAGGTTGGCCCCAGAGAAGCAGTGCCTGTTCCTATCCCCAGAGCAGGGTTTTCCCTCTCCTGAGGACGTCGCCTAAGAACCCCACGGGGATATTGATGGGGCAGGGAGTGCTACCTCTTCACCCTGCGCATCTGAGTCACAGAGGTGGGCAGACCCCACCGGCGACCAGGGCCTGGGGCTGGCAGGCCCTTGGGCCCAGGATGGCCCCTCCCTCAGCCTCTGTGGGAGCCTCTGGGCATGCCCAGAGTAACTGTCCAGGGTTCTGATTCTAAGTTGCCCCTGGATGTGCAGCCAGCCCAGCTACATCATCAAGATCTGTTCCCGCCCCACAGGGTCTGAGAAGTGCATCTCTTCCAGACTCTTCTCCGGCCAACTTAGGGATAACAGGTCCCCTGCTCACCGAACACTGGGCCTTCGCTGTGAGGGTAGGGAGACCTGGGAAGCGTTGGGCCCCCTCCATGGAGCCCCTGTGTCCCCACAGATCTGGGTCAACGAGGAGACGAAGCTGGTGTACTTCCAGGGCACGAAGGACACGCCCCTGGAGCACCACCTCTACGTGGTCAGCTACGAGTCGGCCGGGGAGATTGTGCGCCTCACCACGCCCGGCTTCTCCCACAGCTGCTCCATGAGCCAGGTGGGCACTCCCCTGAGTCCGGATGCACTTGATGGAACTGTCTCTGTACCCGCCTTAGCCTCTCAGAACATTCTAGAACATCAGGCAGCAGCCAAGCACAGGGCCACTCCCCATCCAAGGCAAACACTTGGTAGCAGTTTGCTGACTGTAGAACCAGAGGGATGGTATAGGAAGGATCTGAGTCTAACCACCTGGGACCCCTGGCCAGGGGACAGAGTTCTCTGGGCTGCAGTTCGCTTATCTGAAAATTGGGGTAACAATAATAGTAGCCACCCAAAATGGGTGGAGTTTTGAGGTTTAATGAGCAGTTACACCGGGTAAGTCAGTATCAGTGAAGGTTGGCCAGTGACGAGACAAAGGGTGCAGAATTGGGGGGTGGGGAGAGGTGCTCAGTGCTCCCGTCCTACCCACAGAATTTCGACATGTTCATCAGCCACTACAGCAGCGTGAGCACACCACCCTGCGTGCATGTCTACAAGCTGACCGGCCCCGACGATGACCCTCTACACAAGCAGCCTCAGTTCTGGGCCAGCATGATGGAGGCAGCCAGTAAGTAGCCCCAGATCCTCTGGGATTTGACCCAGACTTTCCCCTTGGGAACCTCAGCTTGCCCGTCTATAAAATGGACTGGGGTCCCATCAAATAACACTGGTGAGAGGAGGCTGTCCTGGAGGGTGTGAGGCAGTGAGCAGCCTGGAGCCCTGCCTGCTAGGCCTCCCCAGCGCCCAGCCTCTCGGCAGCCCTGAGAGCTCCTCTTGAACATGACCACTGGCCCCTGCTGTCCTGTAGGCTCTGCCCCTGGGACAGTCATTTCTGTGCTGCAGTTAAGGCCTGCACCCCACAAAGCAGACTCAGTTCAGGGGCTGACTTCCTGCCAGCAGGTCCCTGAGGCATCCTTGTCCTCAGGGGCAGCGGCTCCAGGGCGCAGAGCAGATGCTCGGAAGCCTCTGTAGGAGAAGACCTGGAGGTCAGGCGCGGGCGGAGCCTCGGGACACAGGAGGCAGCTGTCAGTCCGCCCCAGAGCCAGGAGGGCGGCCCTCCCGCTCCGGGGGTGACCCCAGGTTCCAGTTCTGGCTGCAGAACCAAGGGCAAGTCAGCTTGTCTCCCCAAAATGTTCCTTCATCTGCAAAGTGATGCAATGTCTATTTTTAGGATGAAAATCAAACCCTTCCAAACACACAAGAATCTCTCCCTATGAAGGACGCCCTTCTCTGACCCAGACCTGCCACTTGCTAGATTTCCCGATGTTCTGGGAAGAAGCCCTGGCGTTCGTAAAGCATTTTATGTGCTACAGGGCCTCTCCACCTAACAGCTCAGGCCATGGCTCTGCACGTCACCACCACAGGACGTGACGGAGCAGGACCCTCGGCCCCGGGGTCACAGATGAGGAAGGGTCTTGCACAGCAGCAGGGGAGCAGCGACGGGAACTGGCTGTCCTGATACCCAGCCCTGGACCTGCAGGCAGGAGGACTAGGGTACTGTTTTCCAAAACTGCTGATCTTGCCATGTTTGCAGACAACCTCTGTGAGCAGTTGGCCAGCTGTAGCCAAATCCCACCTCAGGGCCACATCAGCAAAGCTTCATTGTTACGACAGAGACATGGAAAGCCTCCTCGGCACCTAAAGCCGAAAATACTCTCCACCCCTTCCCAGTGAACGTTCCACAACTCCGGGCCTACATTACCACTTACTTATTTAACTTTTAAAAGGTATTTTCTTATTGGTTTTAGACAGAGAGGAAGGAAGTAGAGGGGTTGGGAAGAGAAACATTGATCAGTTGCCTTCTATACATACTCCACAGTCCAATTGGGGATCGAACCTGCAACCTGGGTACGTGCACTGACCAGGAATTCGAACGGCGACCTTTCAGTACACAGGACGATGCTCAGTCAGCTGAGCCACACCAGCCAGGGCACCTTATTTAACTTGCAAATCTGCAGCCTGTTTACCTGAATAAAATCATCCTAGAGACTCTCTTCACCATCATGATCCAAACACCAGTGCTGCTTTGCAAAAATGAAAGCAATTATAAAAATTTGAGAGGAACAGACCATGAAATTGTCTGTCAAACCCCAGAAATGCTGCCACCTTCCTCGGGGAGTGAGCTAGCGTCAGGGGCTGCTGGAGCCGCCTCTGGGCCAGGCTGCAGCCCGGCACGCGTGTGCACGCCCTCAGAGTGCAGTCACTCCCGGCCCTCCGATTTAAAAAACCTTAGAAAAGCAGAGGACGGGGTGCCTCCAGCTCACCCTCGGCGGGGGAGGCCAGGCAGTGGAGTGTGGGTGTCAGCTGGCTCTGGGCTTCTCTGTCTGCAGGCTGCCCCCCCGATTATGTGCCCCCGGAAATCTTTGACTTCCACACGCGGTCCGATGTGCGGCTCTACGGCATGATCTACAAGCCGCACGCTGTGCAGCCCGGAAAGAAGCACCCCACTGTCCTCTTCGTGTACGGAGGCCCCCAGGTGGGTGCTGGCCCTGTTCCCCGCACTCCCTCCCTCCATGCCAGGACTGGAGTGCCCCTCTGACTACACAAGGTTCCGGGGTCCCTCAAGCTTCTGCCTCTGGCTTTCTGTGCACCTTATGACCACACCACCACCACCACCACCACCACCCCCCCGCTGATGCTCCCTTGTCCCTTTGGGGAGCCCCCCTCATCTTGTGTTCCTTCGGGCCGCCTGCCCAGCAGTGACCCCTCTCACCATGGCCACCAGCGTGGGGACAGAGGTGGCCCCGGGCCCGGTTCTCGGAGAAGCGGACATCGAAGGCAGTGGCTCTCACTTGGTGGAGTCCTGTCCTTCAGGGACACGGGATGGTATCTGGGGACACGTGCAGTTACCACAACTCAGGAAAGCACTCCTGGCATCGAGGAGTGGAAGCCAGTCTACACGCTCCAGCGCCCACCACGCACCCCTCCCCGCCTCACACACACAGAATAAGGCCTCGAGTAGTGACAGTGCCGAAGTGAGGAGCTGGTTTAAGTCAGGTTCCTCAGAGAAAGCAACTGCTGCCACACCAGCCATTCCCCCACCAGCATTTGTGTCTGCTTTCTAGAGAGAACCGAGGGTAGAAAAGAGGCAGAACATGGCTAAAGCAAGAATAGAAGGTACCACGGAGGGCGTAGCTGAGAGGAGAGCTTGGTAGGGCTTTTCTCTCTGTAGCACGCTGCAGGATGAGGCTTGGTGCAGCATGGGCCTCTTTCCCTTTCCACTCGCCCACGTCCAGAACCTTCCAGGCCATTCATAGTCTTTACAGCAAAGTGCAGGGTCCTCACTAGGCTGGAAGGCCCCCTCTGGCATCAGGGCCATCTGGCCCATTCTGGCTCACATCTCACACTGGATTGCTTACCACTTGCCCAAAGCCCCATGTCCTCGCTCCGCCTTCCCCTGCAGGTGCAGCTGGTCAATAACTCCTTCAAGGGAATCAAGTATCTGCGGCTCAACACGCTGGCGTCCCTGGGCTACGCCGTGGTTGTGATCGATGGCAGGGGCTCCTGTCAGCGAGGTCTTCGGTTTGAAGGGGCCCTGAAAAACCGAATGGTAACTTTTCTTCCCAGTCCCTCCGGGCCCTTCCTGCGCGGCAAAGGGAGGTCTGGGTTTGGTTGGCTCAGGGTTTGGGCGGCTCCGGGTCACCTCCTTCAAGGACCGTCATAAGCAGAGTGGCCTTTTGGAACCAAGGAGACATCTGCTTTGCTGCTCAGCAGAGTTTTGTGTCATGGGGGCACAGGTATAACCCATCCCACCTGTTGCCAGACACGGCGGCAGGAGGTGCCAGGGGCTGGGCTGGACAGGGACTGGTGGCTGCGGAAGTGGTGCTCACAGTGATGGCGGTGACAGTGATGAGGATATGGTGATGATGGATGTGATGATGATGGTGAAGGCTGTGTTGATGATACGATGATGATGGTGGTGGTAGTGATGGTGAAGATGATGATGGTGGCAGTAGTGATTGTGGTGATGGTGATGATGATGGTGGTGGTGAAGATGTTGACACCAACTATTCATTGAGCCCTAGCATGCGCCATACCTCTGATGGTAGGACACTACCCTCATGTTACCCTCATGTCCACTGTAAATGGGTCCTATTCAGGTTAACACCCTCGTTTTGGGGTGGGGAAACAGGCCCAGAGAGAGGATGTGACTTTCTCAAAGTAACAGCCAGGAGGTAGCAGGGCAGGGTTGGTACCAGGCCCGTCTGACCACAGCCCCGGAGAGCAGTGTGAATGGAGCTTTGATCCAAGAGGGAGAGGGCTCCTCACAGGGGCAGAGGTGGGCGGCAGTGGGAGAAGCCACTGAGAGGTCCCCGGCCTCGTCCCCAGGGCCAGGTGGAGATTGAGGACCAGGTGGAGGGCCTGCAGTTCGTGGCCCAGAAGTATGGCTTCATCGACCTGAGCCGGGTGGCCATCCACGGCTGGTCCTACGGAGGCTTCCTCTCGCTCATGGGGCTGATCCACAAGCCTCAAGTGTTCAAGGTGGGTCCTGCCCGCGCGCCCTCCCTCCTGTCCACTAGCGCCCGCCCGTGCCCTTGGAGCCCTTGGGGGAGGCATCTCGGCAGGGGCTTTGCCACGTGGCTGTTTCTCCCCGCAGCAGCCCCACGGGGCCGAGCCCCCCTCCTCATTGCCCGCCACTGCTGACCCCAGGATGGCATCCGGCTGCACAAAACCCCGCCAGCAGCTCTCTGTGGGAGGCTGAGCCTGGGACCCCGGCCTCGGATGGGCAGAGGTGGGGCATGGTGTGAAGAGCATCGGGGGAGGGACCCCCAGGCCGGCAGCACTGTCCGGGCACCGCGGGGCGGCGATGAGGAGGAGGAGGCAGAAAGGCAGTGGGACCAGGGAGGAGCTGATCCCGGCCTAAACCCTGATGCCCGTACAATTCACCCTCCCTCGACAGCACACAGGCCACGGGGGACACGGTCTGAGGGCCCCTCCCTGCCACCCCCCCTCCCGTGTGCATGCCCACTCATGTCCTCCGGGGGAGGCCCCGGGACAGCCAGTTGAACGAGGGCTCCTGAAACCTGACCCATGTGCATGTGTCTCTCCTCTCTCTCTCTCTCCCTCCCTCTCTCTCTCTCTCTCTCTGCCCCGTCCATCCTCTGTGGCCCTCAGGTGGCCATCGCAGGTGCCCCGGTCACGGTCTGGATGGCCTATGACACAGGGTACACGGAACGTTATATGGACGTCCCGGAGAACAACCAGCTTGGCTATGAGGCAGGCTCCGTGGCCCTGCACGTGGAGAAGCTGCCCAACGAGTAAGGCCCCTCCCTGCCCCGGCAGTTCTGAGTCACCGGCGCTCCTGCCTCTGACACTGCTCCCTGGCTTCCGCTCCTCCCGCTCCCTGCTTCTGCCTCACGTCCCGCCCGCAGCCCGGTCTCCTCTCCGCTCTCCCAGGAGGTGGGTGTCTGGGTGCTCTGGGAGGGAGGCCCCTGGCCCTGCCCTCAGAATGCTCTAAGAAAGTTCTAGGTTTGTACCACTGCATGTGTGGACACCCTCCTTACCCACGCACATGGCCCACCAGAGGCCCATCAGTTGGTCTGCAACATGAACAGCCTTTGTCTTGTGGGTTTTGGCTCTCTGTGGTTTGGGACCCAGATCCACATGGTTGAAACACTGGATCCATCGGACCAGCTCAGATGTCCCATGGCATGCCGTTGGCAATGGCACCTGATTCTCTGATTAAAGACGTCAGTGTTGCCACTTTCAGCTGTGGCTCTGTCTGAACGTATGCCGGGCTCCCATGCTTTCCATGGTGGGGTTACCTTTACATAACCCCGCCTGGGCTCCCTGGGGAGGCCAACATGCAGCCAAACGCGAAACCCCTGCTCTAGACCTGTGCCATCTACTCAAGCTCATACTCATGCACATCCACTGAGATCATCCATTCATCCTTCGAGACAGACGCAGATTGCTGGTTGCCAGGGTGTGGAAATGACTGGTGATGGCCGTGGGGTTGTGCTTTGGGGTGCTGGAATGTTCTGGGACTAGGTAGAGGTGATGGTTGTACAACCTTGTGAGTACACGAAATGCCCCTGAAATTTTGCTTTAAAATGAGTTAACTTCAGGCTATGTGAACTTCACCCAAATAAATTACTTTTTAAAATCAAATATGGCCACTTTTGCCACATTTCAATAGCCATGTGTGGTGGTGACTTTTGGGTTGGGCAGGTCTGTAACCTGCCGACATCCCAGAGTGCCTCGGGCAGCACTGCCTGAAAGCTTTCCTGTAACTCAGGCCATTGCATAGCCAAGAACACCCTTCTCCCCTCCTTGCCCGGAAGTGAGGTCTCCCTGACCCACCATTTAGGTCAGTGTGTTTCCCTTCCCTCAACCCTCTCCCTCTGCTACCTGTTACTTCTGCCCTCGCTGCCCCTGGGCTGGAGAAGGACACTGGGACTGCCTCTGGGCGGGAGAGGAGGGTAACCTCAGACCCTCACCCCACCTTGTCTTCCAGGCCCAACCGCCTGCTCATCCTGCACGGCTTCCTGGATGAGAACGTGCACTTTTTCCACACGAACTTTCTCGTCTCCCAGCTGATTCGAGCCGGAAAACCTTACCAGCTCCAGGTGGGTGGCTCCTGGATGCTTTGGGTCCCTCCCAGGCAGTGGCAATCCAGGTGGCATCACCTCTCACTGCACTTGCCACCTCTCCCTGGGCTCCCTGTAGCCAATGCCCATTTGTCCTGGATGCAGCAGTGCTGGGTTGATCGCTCCGGGTTCATGCTGCCCCGGTGCTGGGAACACAGCTAGACTCACCCCAGCCAGTAGGACATGAGCCATAGTCAGTTGTCCTGGCAGGAAAGGGGTCAGCAGTGGGGAGCAAGAAGCCCAGTGGTTGTGGAGGAATTCTGGAGGCAAGAGGGACAGATTTGATCACATGCTGCCACGATGTATTTCTGCTTCCCAGACACCTCCATGCACTCTGTCCTGTCAAACTTGGCAGGAGGGAAGCAGGCAGAGTTGTTTTTGGTTTTTTTTACTCCTCACCCAAGGGTAGGTTTATTGATTTTAGAGAGACAGGAAGGGTGGGAAAGAGAGAGAAACATTGATCAGTTATCTCCCTTATGCATCTCACCTGGGGATCGACCTATAACCTAGGTATGTGCCCTGACCAGGGATTGAACCCACAACCTTTTGGTGTACATGACAGCGCTCTAACCAACTAAGCCACCTGGCCAAGGCAAGGGCAGAGCGTCTGTGGAGGTGAAGAACTGTTAGAGTGCCTCTCGGCAACCCCACCCCCAGCCACATATGCTTCTCACAAGTAGGCCAGAGGCAGCTGAGATCAGGGCAAAAGTCAGGCAGGCCCCAGATGGAATCACAAATTTCTCTCTGAGCCTGAAATCTTGGTCAGGTAGCTGGGATAGTTGTTCCCTCCTATGTGATCATAGGTGGCAGGTCTGTAAGCCTTGGGCCTCACTTCCTCATCTGTGAAGTTTAGAGCCGCCCCCCCGAGGAGAAACTGGAAGTGAGATAACACTGTTGGGGGTGGGAGCTTGGCTCACGCTCTTGCCGCCGTGCAGGAGTGGGTGGTCGCACAGTCCCTGAGGGGTGATGCCCTGAGCCAGAAAGGGGGAGGGGCTCCAGTAGGCCAGCAGGGTCGCTCGGTGCCACCAGCCCTGCCTTCTCTGTCCACGCAGATCTACCCCAACGAGAGACACAGCATCCGCTGCCCTGAGTCCGGCGAGCACTATGAAGTCACGCTGCTGCACTTTCTACAAGAATACCTCTGAGGGCCGTGGCCCTCGGCTGCACACCTAGAGCACAAGTGGTTTCTCCGCCGCTGCCACCACCACTACCACCACCACCACCACCACCAGTGAGACCAGGCGGGAGGACCTGCAGTGCCCTCACCACAGCCCCTGCTGGACCGCCCAGGCCCAAGAGCCACCGCCTTGATGTCCCGACGTCTTTTATCATTTTTAAAAATGCTCCTGGGTTCCTTGCCTGTTGCTTCTTGGTTGCCAAGATGGAGAGATGTGGCTGACACCCACAGGGCACTTCCTGAAGCCATCCCCTCTCCCCGTTGTCTGGGAGCAGGACGCCTGAACTCCGCTGGGCACCGGAGCCGGTGGGTCTGCTCCTGGGCCCTGGCCCACACTGCACCCAGCCCGGAAGCATGCGATCGGTTGCCTTTTCTCCTAACCAGCCCCATTTCCTACTTGTGTTTTGTTTTTGGGGACAGCTTTCATAATTATTTAAAAGACAGAAAGCAAGGGGTGCTGAAATCTAGAATTGGGGTCTGCCGCTGAGTAACGGGGTTCAGCCCAGCCAGCACCCAGTGAGCCCCGCCTCTTTCAGAGCCCAGAGTTGGGAGTGGTGGCCAGCAGGTGTGAGCACTGCACCCGGTGCAGGCAGCCTCCTGGGCCCGCCTTTCCCCAGCTCCTGGTCAGGCTCTGAACTTGGTCAGCTTCGGTCTCTGCTGGCCAGCGGCTGCTGCCCACCCCGTCCCTCCAGCCACGTGTCTGCCTGGCCCACACAGACCAGATTCTGGGTTGGGAGGGGAACCATCCCCACCTCAGGGTTATTTACTCCTTCCTTTCCCTCCCTGCCAAGAGTTCTGCCAGGGGCGGGCAAAAAAAAAGAACCCCAGAAACAAACCACCTCTACATATTAAGGAAAGAAAATATTTTTGTCAATTCTTATTCTTTTATAATTATGCGTGTAAGAAGTAGGCTCATTAAACGATTCCAGACGGAAGCGTTGCCACCTGCCTGCGTTTCCTTCTAAGCCCTGGGGATGGGGATGAGGGCCTTTTGGAGTGTGCAGGGTCTAGGAGGTGGCAGAGCCAAAGGCATGGCGGTCTTTGTAGTCAGCCCTGGACGCCTTGGCACAAAAGAGGGAGGGGCACCATGCCCTGGCTGGATGATGCCCTGCTCCTCAGTGGCCCAGTGAAGACAGTCCCCGCAGTCTTGATGTGTCACTCAGGATCCAGCATAGGGTGTGGAGGGTGGTTTTCCCAGGGCAACAGCACAACCCAAGGTACAGCATTTTTCTGGCTGGATGCTCTGTGGGCCACCATTACTTCCTTTTGTACTGTGCTTGTCCAGAGACGTGAGTCCGTGCTTCAGGCACCAGGAAACGCCCCCTTCATGTTTGTCCCGACAGCAGAGCTAGGGGGCTGGAGGCGGTGCCTGTGGAAAGGCACGCAGGGCGTTTGAGTTTCTGACAGCAGAATGGCCTTGCCGAGTGCAGTCATCCTCTCCATCCTTTGGGAAGCTCTACCTTTACTTTTAATTGCTTAAAAAATAAGTACAAGAGGCTAGCGGGAGAAAGATGCCCTTCGTCCCAAGTCTCTATTTTTTTTCTTTAATATATTTTATTGATTTTTTACAGAGAGGAAGAGAGAAGGATAGAGAGTTAGAAACGTCGATGAGAGAGAAACGTCGACGAGCTGCCTCTTGCACACCCCCTACTGGGGACGTGCCCACAACCAAGGTACATGCCCTTGACCGGAATCAAACCTGGGACCTTTCAGTCCGCAGGCTAACGCTCTACCCACTGAGCCAAACCGGTTTCGGCCTAAGTCTCTATTTTTAATAACTGCATTCTATTCAGCTTTGTGAATGTTCTATAAGTTATTTTGTCAGGAACCTATCAAGGAATAATAAAAGTTATTCTGGACTTTTTATGTTAGTCAGTATAAGGGTTAGCTGGCCTCTGTAAAGAGCCAGATAGTAAATATTTGGGGCTTTATAGGCCAGATAGTCTGTGTTCCAACTACTCAGCTTCACCCTTGTAATTCAAAAGCAGCCACCAATGATATGTAAAGTGTAGGTATAGCTGTGTGCCAATAAAACTTTATTTACAAAAACCAGGCATGTAGCCAGATTCAACCCACAAGCTGTAATTGAACAACTGGTATAAATGATACCGCAACCAATAGCTTTGTACATATTTTGGGCATATGTTTGAATTTATTGGGTAAATTCCTAGAATTATCAAAGGCATATTCATTTTTACTTTTTGAAGAATACTGCCAATTTGCCTTCCAAAGAGAACGCCTCAGTGTGCACTTTGCCAAGAGAGAAGAAGAGTGTCAGTTTCTCCACTCCTAAACAGTGTTACGTGTTCTCAGACATTTTTATCTTCAATCTTAAGAGGTGAAACATGGCATCTCACTGTAACTTGAACTAAAAAAAATTTTATGTGTGGAAATATTTTCATGTTTTAAAGACACTAATTTACTAGTAATAATTTGCCCCCTTTTTATCTATTAACCTCATTGATTTGTAGACACTACATATGAAGGAAATTAGTTCATTGTCATACAGGTTGAAAATTGGACTATGTTGCCGATTTCAAAATGTTTTACGGGTAAGATAGCTAAAATCATCTCAGGAAAAAAGATGTCTTTTACTTAACCCACTGTGAAATAAAATGGAGAGGAAACCAGCCATAAGTCACAGAATGATAGAAACTGGTGAGAAAGGGGACTCTGGGGTTGCCCAGGAGACTTGGCGGCTGGCAACCTTCAATCATGTCAAAGCAGGAACTCTTCATCATAACCTCCACTCCTGCCTCACCCAGTCAACATTCAGATTGTCATGAGGCAGCATCTGATGGCCAGACTTCAGTTAGTCACATTCCTGCCCTGATAATGAGGTGCAAACAAGTGAGGTGCCAACAGGAAGGGGGCAGCTACAAAAGCACAAGTGTGACAGAAGGTCTCAGTGTCTGGAGGTGGCAGGTTAGAGATGTCTGTTTCTTCCTGTTGATATGTGGCCACTGTTTCCTCCACCTGATGGGGAGTCCATGAGCGGGAGGGTCCCTGATGCTAGTTGGGGTTACCTGTGCACGTGCTTGATTCCTTTCCCAGTGTAACTGCTCATCTCTTCCTAATTGGCAAGAACCCATATGTGGTAGATATAAAACCCTGTCATATCAATTGCAGATATTTTCCTGGTTTGTCATTTTCTTTTCAAACATGTTTATGTTATTTTTCAAAAATAACTAGACATCCCAGCCAGTGTGGCTCGGTGGCTGAGCATCAATCTATGAACAAGGAGGTCACGGTTTTATTCCTTGACAGGGCACATACCTGGGTTGCAGGCTCAATCCCCAGTCAGGGATGTGCAGGAGGCAGCCAATCAGTAATTCTCATCATTGATGTTTTTATCCCTTTCTCCCCCTTTCTCTGAAATTAATTTTTTAAAAATTTAAAATAATATATAGGAAGTTGCGAAAATAGCACAGAGTCCCATGTACCCATCACCCAGATTACATCTTAACCATAGTACATTGTCAAACCAGGGAATTGACAGTACAATGCAATTAACTAGACTAAACCTTACATTTAAAAATCTTTCACATGCACTCGTGTGTGTGTGTGTGTGTGTGTGTGTGTGTGTGTGTGTGGTTCTGTTCCACTTTGTCACCTGAGCAGGTTCCTGTAACCACCACCACAATGAAAACAGAATTGTTTATTCACCACCATGGAGCCCCTTTGAGTGACCCCTTTATATCCACACCCACCCAGGCTATGGCGTCCTATCAGAGAAGTCTGATACTGAGTCATGGGTGGTTTCTTTTAGAACTGCTAGGTTTCATGTCATGGCTAGAAAGCAGGACCTTTGGAATGATGGCTTTTTCTTTAAACTTTAGTGTGAGTGGTGGCTTTTTCCTTAAACTCCTTTAGTGTGTGTGTTGTGTATGTGTGTTTTGAGGCAAAAAGGAAAAATCGAGTCTTGGGGCTCAGTCTTTCTAAACACACACACACATACCCCTCTACCCCTCTTTAGCAGGATATCCAATAAGCTCATAATTGAAATACAATGTATTGTTAACAACAGCTCTTGGCCACTAATTAGATTCTTCACAGTAACAGGCTGAAGGGCAGACGCAGGCGAGAATAGAAAAGACATGAATGGAACCATGCTGTGTAAAACACCAGACAAACAGGATAGCAGAACCAATTGGTGGAACCAATTTCCAATGAATCCAGGAGGAAATTTCTTAACACAAGCAGGTATCTCTATTTAGGACAGGCTGCCACTGCCAAGGAGCGTGAATTCTGAAGTCAAGGTTATCTGCAGAGCAGTCAGCCTTCTATAGGAGCCTCTTGACCTCCGGACACTGACCTTCATCCTCGGGGAGGGAAGGGTAGGGGGAGACACACAAGGGGTTGAATGTAAATGATGAGAGATTTGAGTGTGATTCAGCCCAGCTTAAGGGTTACCTGTAACATTTTCATTCTGTTCTTTCAAGTCAGGAAGAACTAGGAAAAGAGGCTTAATTCTGGACACTCCCGGCCACCAGGGATTTCTTGAAATGCTAAGCAATTTGTGACCCGCTCTGCACACAGACACAAAATGATTCCTTCTGTAGTTGAAAATCTGGGCTTTCTTCATTGGCATCTAATGCTGGTAGCACCTAGAATTTAGAGTTCTTACCTGTGGTCCCTCCATCAGTCCTCCTGGCAACTCCTGAGGTAAGGATTATTTTCTCTTAGATTTTTTATTTTGAAATAGAATTCTCTAATGTCCCTTGCTCATCTTCCCCTAAAGTTAACATGGCACAGACCAGGTGTTAAAGCCAGGAAATTAACATCAACACATCTTATCATGTACACAGACGTATACAGACCTTATTGAATTTCAACATTTCTTCCTGTAAAGTCATTTTTCTGGTCGAGGACTGTTATGGGCTGATGCTTATGTTTCCCCAAATCGAGTTGAAACCTAACCTCCAACGTGATAGTGTTAGATGGGGAAGTTGGGGGTTGATTAGGTCATAAGGATGGAGCCCCATGAATGGGATCAGTGTCCTTATACCAGAGACCCCAGAGAACTGGGGCACCCCTTCCCCTGGTGAGGACAGGCAGGAGAGCAGTCTGAACCAGGAAGTGGGCCCTAAACAGACACACAAAGCTGCCCAAGCCTTGACCTTGCCCTTGCCAGCCTCCAGAAATGTGAAAAGAAATGTGCTTTTTCCCTAGCCGGTTTCGCTCTGTGGATAGAGCATCGGCCTGCAGACTCCAGGGTCCCAGGTTCGATTCAGGTCAAGTACCTTGTTTGCGGGCACATCCCCAGTGGGAGGTTGTGCAGGAGGCAGCTGATTGATGTTTCTCTCTTGTCGATGTTTATAATTCTCTCTCCCTCTCCCTTCCTCTCTGTAAAAAATCAATAAAAATATTTTTTAAAAGTAGTAAAAAAAAAAAAAAAGTGTTTTTTTGCAGCCCGCAGTATATGATATTTTTAGGATAGAAGCTGGAATTAAGAAAAGTATCCAATAAATAAATAAATAAATAGATAGATAGATAGATAGATAGATAAAATAGAAAGAAAAGTATCCAAGCCAGGACCTTCAATTGCAGCTTCGTGGTCTTTTTTTAATTTTTAATTTTATTTTTCGTGGTCTTGATCTCCTTATTCTGTGATGGCTCCTCAGCTGTCTTTCATGACATTTTTGAAGAGTGCCGTTGGTGTGTCTGATGTTTGCTTATAATTAGATTGAGAGCCAGCATTTTGGGCAGGAATTCCAGAGGTGCATCCGGTGGGTGGCTCCGTGACGTAACAGTCTCATTTTGGGTGATGTTAACTTTGATCATTGGGCTACGGTGGTGTCTCTATGGTAACATTACTCTTTTTCTCGTTGTAATCAACAAGTATCTCGCGGGGAAATACTTTAAGATTATGCAAATATCCTGCTTCTCATAACTTTCCACCACCAATTTTTAGGATCTTGGCTGCCACAATTATGAGGTATTTTCCCAGCTGTCACCTTCCATTGCTCTCACACAGTTCACGTTCATTCGTTTAAATTTTAGTGGCTCTTTTCTTTCCCTCATTCCTTGTACATTCACCAACTGGAAGAGCTGAGTTTGGTCAGAGACAACGGAACCGAGACCACTCACCGCGGACGCTCCCCGCACTCCCAAACCCCGCCCCAAGATGGCGGCCAGAGCGGGCCGGCGCTCCCGGTCACGTGATCGCGCCGCCGCTGACGTGGCCCCTGGGGGACGCCCAACGTGTCCCTCGCCGCGCCCCGTCCGACGTCCAGGCCCTGCCGGCCCGATCTCAAGATGGCGGCGCCCAGCGGAAGGAGGAACGGCGGCGGCGGTGCGAGCTTGTGGGCTGCGCTGCTCCTGGCGGCCGTGGCGCTGAGGCCGGCAGAGGCGGTGTCCGAGCCCACGACGGTGGCGTTTGACGTGCGGCCCGGCGGCGTCGTACACACCTTCTCCCAGAACGTGGGCCCTGGGGTAACTGCCGCCGCCGAGCGAAGTGCCCGCGCGGGGGACGGGATTTGGGAAGGGGTTGCTGCTTGACTTTGGCTCAGACTTCGGGGGTGGGGCCTCAGTGTGAGTGCGAACTTGGGGGGCTGGAACTTTGAGGGAGCTGGGTCACTGTGCTCAGTCCCTGCCGCCTCTCACATGCCCAGCAGCCCTGTCCCCCAGATCCAGGCGAGTTCCCCGCCATTGGAGGCGGGGCGGACACAGGTGGGGAGAGGGGAGCTGGAGCCTTTGGGGACGCGGCTCCAGGTCCCACAGAAGGTCGGTCCCCTTGCAGATATGACTCGGAAGTGCACAGACGTTGCTCTTCCTGCCATTGCACAAGGTCCCCCATCTTTCGTGTCACTGAAGTGTGAGGCCAGGTCCTCCTTTCCTGAGACTCCCGGCTTTGTCCCCAACTTGTTGGAGAAGTCGCTGCCCCTTTCATCCTCCTTCATGTCTGAGATAGTATCGATTGCAGCTGTTTGTTGAATGCTAATCTACAGCCTGGTACTGTGCCGATTGCTTTTTATGTTAGGCCTATTTTGCCGATGAAGGAACAGAGGCTCAGAGAGGTTTGCACCTGTCCAAGAACCACAGCAGCGCAGATACGGGTCCCAGGTGTTTCAGCTTCCAAAGGGGGCCTGCGGGTGTCCCAGAGCCCCAGCTGCTAGAGGGGTGGGTGTTAGAGGGGGTGTGGCCACCTCCTTCCCGTTCTTTACTCCCAATAAGCCGCAGGGGCTGTTTGTCCTGACCCAGGCGCTCACTAGTAGGGAGGCAGGAAGGGGAATTCTGGGTTGTCAAGTTACCAGGAGGCCTTGCGGGGCTGGCTTCCGGGGACACTCACCAGCGCTATCTGCCTCTGCCTCCTTCTCCTTTAGTGTAGATTTTCAAAAGCAGGATCTTCTTAGACATCCCAAGATCCTGCCCCTTAAGAACTAAGGATTACATCCTACCAAGCCTTCTTTCCATTCCATTTTCTAGGACAAATATACTTGTGTATTCACCTATGCTTCTCAAGGAGGGACCAATGAGGTGAGTTGTACAAAATTCCATGTAATTTAGTGTGATGGTATCTGTTTTCATACAGAGATGTTCTCCCAGGATAATGAGGTTGTCATGGGTGGGTTAACTTACACTCATTGAATTCTTCGTAACCAATAAATGCGAGAGTGCTCATGTTAATAGTGAGGTAGTTCCACAGAGTGAACGGATGCCGGGCAGGAGGGAATGAGCTGTGAATCTGCCATTCCCAGGAGGCTCTATTAGAGGTGTTGCATTTGTTTTCTGTGCTGACTAACAAGTCACCATAAACTTATCAGCTTAAAACAGCCCCCGTTCATCATCCCTCAGTTCTGGAGGTCAGAAGTGCTAGGGCTCAGATGGGTGCTTCATAAGCTAAAATCAAGGTGTCAGGCAGTCTGGCCTTTCGTCTTCCAGGCGCAATTTGTTGTCAGAATTCAGTGCCTCACAATGTAGGCCTGAGGTCCCCCTTTCCTTGCTGGCCATTTTCTCCATCTGATGGCAAAAGAGGAAGTGAAATAGATTCTAAGCACCAGAAGGGCGCATTGCACAAGAGGTGCCAGTGGCCTTTAGACCAGCGGTCGCCAACCTTTCGGACCTCGCGGACCACCAGTGCTCCGAGAACCACTGGTCAGCGACCGCTGCTTTAGACTGTGAGAGCGGCCTCTGCTGGAAGCAAGGACACAAGGGCTTCAGTCCTACAATCACAAAGAACTGATGCTGCCACCACCAGTAGAGTTTCGGAAGAAGACCCCAAACTCCAATGGGACTACGGTCTGGCCTTCACCTGGATTTTGCTTCTGAGAGAGCAAAGGAGCAGCCCCACCATATCCAGACTTCCTTTTTTCCCCGTCCCCTCCTCTTTGGTAACCATCAGCTCGTTCTCTATGTCAATGGGTCTGTTTCTGTTTTTTTTTTTTTTTTTAGATTGCACATATAAGGAAACTATATGGTATTTGTCTTTCTCTTTCTGACTTATTTCACTTAACACAATTATACTCTAGGTCCATCCTTATTGTTGCAAGTGGCAAGATTTCATTCCTTTTTAGTGCTGAGTAATATTCCATCATGTATACATACCACATCCTCATGAGGCAGCCTTGTGTGAGTACGCAGCCGCACATTGCTAGTTCTGCACCTTCTCTGGGTGGGGCACACCCACGTACACAGCAGTTCCCCACTCACTCCGCAAAGGGCACTCCTGTGTGGGTACCACAACATTTTGCTAACTCTGAATTTTCATTGGGAGGAGAAGCCCCGTGTGAGCACACAGTAGTGTTTCACTATCTGTACTTTTCGCTGGCCAGGGTAGCCCTATAGGCAGGTACTACAATATTTTGCTAGCTTTGCACTTTCACCAGGGGAGGGTGCTCCACGTGCATACACAGCCCAGTGGGACACCCTGTTATACCTGCTGGTCAGTCTCAGGGTGAAGGGGCCCCTGTATGCATGCTATGGCACCCTCTTCCTGCTGGAGCTAGCTGGAACTGGCTGAGAACCTGCTACAACACCCTACAGTTTGGCCAGAGAACCTGGATGGAGAGGGGAAACATAAATAACTAGAGGCCCGGTGCATGAAATTGTGCTCGGTACAGTCCTAGGCCTGGCCTGGATCAGGGCCATCTTCCCCAGCTGCCTGAAGCCGGCCCCGCCCCCTCCCCCAACCCCACCCACCTCATCAGGTGATAGGTGCAGGGGAGGGGGGATGAGAGGTTGGCTGTCCCCCCCTCCACCCCTCACTTGCTGGCCCTGCCCCCACTGAGGGTGGCTATCAGGTGATGGGAGCCTGCCAGCTGAGGAAAGGGACCAAGAGGTAGGCAGTATGCCTCAAAGTGACTAGTTCAGTGGTCTGTTCTGCCGTGAGGTTTTGAGAATCTCAATTTGCATATTACCCTTTTATTATATAGGATGGCACTCACTGGTTCCTCTGGTTCTGGGCTTCTCAGCTTTCAGAGAGCTTTCTCAGCCTTCTCTGTGTGGTTTCTATACCTTGTGCAGAAGCTGTATAATTGGCTCATAGTTGTCTCTCGGGAGGAAGTGCACTAAGTATTTCATGTGCTCTTTGGAGGGACGAGCTCTGTCCACGAACACCGCCATCTTGGATCTGCTTTTTGAATTACACACTTTATTTTATTTTATTTTTAATATATTTTATTGATTTTTCACAGAGAGGAAGGGAGAGGGATAGATAGCTAGAAACATCGGTGAGAGAGAATCATCGACCAGCTGCCTCCTGCACACCCCCTACCGGGGATGTGCCCGCAACCATTGTACATGCCCTTGACTAGAATCGAACCCGGGACCTTCCAGTCCACAGACCGACGCTCTATCCACTGAGCCAAACCGGTTTCAGCTTGAATTACACACTTTAAAAGGGTGAATTATACAGTGTGTATAAACTAGTAATTTGTTCCTAGATGGGTGCTCCAGGCAAAAGGCATCGAAGTGACCATTTAATTAACATAAAGATGGCCTTGTTCACATTAATGAAAAAGCTTTGATGTTAAATGGGGAGTACCGGTAATCTGAGTCCATTATTACTCTTGGGAGGGACTGTAAACTCATTTCACTAACAAACTCTGGAATAAGTGCCTTAGGCAGCCTGGAACATAAGAGTGCGTTTTCCATTTCCTTTTGGCCGGGTTTCCAGATGCTGTAAAAGGTAGAATACACAGGTAGTGGGGTGTTTTGGAACCAGTTCAAATTTAAAATTTTTTAAAATATACACTGAATGGCCAGATTATTATGATCCACTCAGTGTGTGTGTGTTTGTGTGTGTGTGTATGTATTAGGGGCCTGGTTCATGAATTCATGCATGGGTGGGGTCCAGCCAGTCTGGCCAGGGGGAGGGGACATGGGCGGTTGGCCGGCCTGCCTGCCTGCTGGTCGAACTCCTGGTCGATTTGCATATTAGCTTTTTATTATATAGGATATACACTGAGTGGCCAGATTATTATGCATTCAGAGATCATAATAATCTGATTACTCAGTATATACTTTAACTGATTTCAGATAGGAAGGGAGAGGGAAAGAGAGAGAAACATCAGTGATGAGAGAGTCATTGATCGGCTGCCTCTTGCACACCCCACGCTGGGGATTGAGCCGCAGCCCAGGCCTGTGCCCTGACGGAATCACACCGTGACCACCTGGTTCATAGGTTGATGCTAAACCACTGAGCCACTCTGGCCAGGCTAAAATTTTAATTTTTAAGTAGCTAATACATTCACATCATTCAAAAAGAAAAACATATAAAAGATTGACAGTGTCTTCTTCTAGCCTAGTTCCTGCCCACATCCTACAGGTATCCACACTTATTAAAATCTTGTGTCTTTTCTGAGGACTATGCCTCTGCAAGCAGGCATGAATGTATTGTCTTCCCCCCCCCCCCCCCTTAATAGACATCATTTTTCAGGGCAGTTTTAGGTTCACAGCAAAACTGAGCAGAAGGAATAGAGATTTTGTTGTATCTTCTTGCCCCTCCCCACATGCACAGGCTCCCTATTGTCAGCAGCCCCCACCAGAGTAGTGAACCCACATTGGCATCACTGTCACCCCAAGTTCATAGTTGACGTTAGGGCTTCCTCTTGATGCGCATTTTGTGGGTTTGGTCAAGTGTATAATGGTGTGCATCCACAGTTGTGGTACCGCGTAGGGGAGTTTCACTGCCCTGAGCAGAGGGGGGGGCTCCGGGAAGCCGCGCTCCAGGGGGGTCCAGGAAAGGCTCACTCACTCTGCAGAGCTGCACGTAGACGGGCAGCTCTCAGAGGCACCGCGCTCGCCAGGCTGTGTGTCTGGGCTGACCCTCGTCTTTCTCCTCTCCCCAGAAGTGGCAGATGAGCCTGGGCACCAGTGAAGACCAGCAGCACTTCACCTGCACCATCTGGAGGTGAGCTGTGGGTCCCGGCAGGGCCCAGGCTGCTCTGGGCAGCAGGGAAAGGGGCAGACACACCAGGAGGGCCCTGCACCCCTGGAGAGGCACACAGGGAGTGCACAGAGGGAGGACTTCGTTATGCTTCTGCCAGCGGGCATAAATGTACTGTCTTACCTTCTTTTTGTTTTTATTTTTCTTAGTAGGCATTTTTTTAGAGCAGTTTTAGGTTCACAGCAAAATTGAGCAGAAAGCAGAGATTTTGATGGATCTTCTTGCCCCTCCCCACACCCCCTATTGTCAGCAGCCCCCCCCCCAGAGAGACATTTGTTGGTGGGGACCGCGGAGCTCCCAGGGAAGCTGACACAGGCCAAGAGCAGGTTCTGGGGACTGAGGGGCTGCAGGCCGGCAGTAGCCTCAGCGCCAGAGAGCGGGGCAGGCTCCCCAGCGCTCACCTGCCATGTCACCCCCAGTCACACCCATGGTTCATGGGCTCGGTCTCCCTGCCAGGGACTGATGTCTGTTCACCCACTGCTGGTGCCCAGCTTGAGCGAGTGGTAAGCCAGGGAAGGGATGGAGGAAAGGGAGCCCGTAGCCCTGGGTGGGGAGGAGGACGGTGGGACATCATGGAATCATGTCCCTTCTGGCCCCGGCTCTTCTGCCTCAAATGTGTCACCTCAAGCAGAGCCAAGTTCTCAGACGTTTGTGTGCCCGACAGGAAGTCCAAGCTGTGGCTTCACCCACATGGGACAGGTCAACAAGCTGGACACAGTGGGAGGGCAGGGACTTGCCATTAATGAAAGGAAGTGGCGCATTTTTAAGTTGGACATACACAATAAAGACACGACACTTTTTAATGCATTTTTAAATGTTTTTATTGCTTTTTAGAGAGAGGAAAGGAGAGGGACAGATAGAAACATTGATGTATCATCAGTCAGCTGCCTCCTGTGTGCTCCCTAATGGCATGTGCCCTGACCAGGACGGGAACCAGGGACCTCTTGGCATATGGGTCAGTGCTCAACCACTGAGCAACACTGGCCAACTTAATGCGTTCTTTTTTAATCCTCACCCGATAATATGTTTTATTGATTTTTAGAGGAGAGAGAGAGAGAGAGAGAGAGGAACATTGATCATTTGCCTCCCGTACGTGCCCCAATCGGGAATTGAATCTACAACCTTTCTTGGTGTACAGGATGATGCTCCAACCAATGAGCCACCTAGCCAGGGCGACACAGCGTGTTTTAATCACACTTGCAGTGTCATCCCAGTCTCAGTGCTAAGCAAGCAGCAGGTACTTACTGAGAGCTATTGGGAAGATTCGTGCCTTTCTATTGCACTGCCTGCCCCAGGGGCCAGGAGCCCAGCATCCTTAGCAGGTCACCCTGCCTGAGCCACATCTCCCGGCCTCGGAAGTGTCACAGGAAGGAGCCTGGGCCGCCCTCATCACGGGGAAGGCTCGTTACTGGGTTGCATTAACTGTGTGCAGCTCGCTGCCTCTCACAGGGAGTCTGACCACCAGCCCTCAGGTGCACAGACCCGGGCCATGCAGGCCCACTACTCACTGAGCCCGACACCTGCTCAGCCGAGGTCCAGCCTAAATGGGCCCCAGCCTCCAGGCTTCAGACATGGACTGACCCTCCATCCATGCAGAGGTTTTGAGAATCTGGGAGACTCCCTGGATACCACCTCTTTATCCCTACCTCATCCTCCCGTCCCGCCATCTCCTCCCTCCACACCCCCGTCCCGCCATCTCCTCCCTCCACACCCCCGTCCCGCCATCTCCTCCCTCCACACCCCCGTCCCGCCATCTCCTCCCTCCACACCCCCGTCCCGCCATCTCCTCCCTCCACACCCCCGTCGCGCCATCTCCTCCCTCCACACCCCCGTCGCGCCATCTCCTCCCTCCACACCCCCGTCACGAACACCTTCTCCCTGGCCTCCCTGCTCCCTTCTCTATTTCCCACCTCGTTGTGTCTGCTTTCCACACATGGCCCGTTGGAGCTCTTCACACTGCAGTCATCATCAGCCCCTTGTTGGCACCAGTCCTCTTTTCTTGTGTGTGTTAATCCTCACCCAATATTTTTCTGTTGATTTTTAGAGAGGGAGAGAGACAGAGAGAAACATCGATGTCAGAGATCACATCGATCAGTTGCCTCCCACACATGCCCTGACCAGGGCCAGGGATCGGGCCTGCAACTGAGGTACGTGCCCTTGACCAGAATCGAACCTGGAACCCTTTAATCTGCCGGCTGACACTCTATCCACTGAGCCAAACTGGCTAGGGCACCAGACCTCCTCCCTTGGCTCCTCTCTCTCTCTGGCCATAAGACCTCATGCTTATCAAATGCCCACACTTGCCCCCTCTGAGGACTCTTTGTAGCAGCCATTTCCTCTGCCTGGGCCAGCCCTCCCCTTCCCCTTCCTAGTTCACTCCTGTATTTCTCACCTCCAGGATGCTGCAGCCCCCATGAAATACCTGATGTCATTGGCACTCAATAAAAAGCATTTGGTGAATGAGTATGAGGGTCCCTGACCTAGAACAGCTTGCCTTCAGAAGGGGACGGAGGATTGTCAGTAACCAGCCAGAAGAACGTTCTGGAAAAGGAAAGGGAATGATCTGGAGAGGCCCCGTCCACACTTCCCAGTCAGCCGTGCTTGGAAATACATGACCCTGGGCTGATCCCTCGCCTGACCTTTCTCTGCAGGCCCCAGGGCAAGTCCTACCTGTACTTCACTCAGTTCAAGGCAGAGGTGCGGGGTGCCGAGATCGAGTACGGCATGGCCTATGTGAGTATCAGCTGTGCACTTTGGGTGGTGGCCTGAGGTGTCCCCTGGGGAGACAGGCAAGAGGAGGAGGTGAGCAAAACTTGGAAGAACATGGGACACTGCCGACCCCAGGTTTGGGGGCGCAGGGAAAGAGGCAGTGGTGGTGCCCAAAGCAGGACCCTGCTGACCTCCAGAGACAGCAGGCAGGTGTGACAGGAAGTGGGCACCCGGCATCACTCTCCTGCTGCCTGCCAGTCTCCTGCCGGAGCCCCCATTGGAAAAGCCAGCAGGAAGCTAGAGGGCAGGCCTGGATGCTCAGCTCTGAGACAGGAAGAGGGACAGCAAGGTGGCAGTGGCCCTGAGGCAGGTGTGTGGGTCACTGGTGTGTGTGTGTGTGTCACATCCCTTGGCCCCAAGGACCTGTGGTTCACGGCTGGGCAGTGCCTTCTGCGCACTCCTGACCCCACAGCCCTTTCCAGAGGCCAGCCACCCTGCAGAGCCTACCATGTCCTACCACTTCCACCAGTTCAGGTGCAACCAAGCAGCACAACCACTAGGAGCCGGGCAGCCAGGTAGAGATTGTTTGCCAGGAATTGGCTTCTGCCATGGGACTGACCAAGCAGCCCTGGTTTCCAGAGGCCAGGCAGGCTGGAGGCAGGGCTGGCTCTGCCGTCCCAGGAAGCCCAGCTCGTTCTGAGTCAGGGCCACCCAGGTCAGCAGGAGAAGAACCCCCTGGGGATGGGCTTTTATCTCAGCACAGAGACTCACACGGCGCCTAGCGGGAGTCAGGGCGGAACTGCATGGCTGCTCCAAGGTGACACATCACAGTCCCACTTTGAACTAATGACTCTCCAGGGTCCCTTTAAAACTCTATTTTAGCTCATTTGAGAGCACAATTCTAATTTTTAAAAATTACATTCAAGAGACTGCTGTGCTTGTCCCATTTCCATAAATTAAGAAAAAAATTGAATTAAATACCTTCTTACTGGGATTTGCAGTGAAGGCACGAAGTTTTAAGCCAGTTGACAGTCTCTTAAGTAGATTCCCAGCCACTCCTCCTGGGCTCTCTTCTGTGCTCAGAAAGCGTCGGTGAACACACACGGTTTTAGTCCGTGCCTCTTGGGGAAGCAAACCAAACTGTGTTCTTTCCTGATTAGGGAAGTTTCCACTTTTCCCTTTCAGTCTAAAGCTGCGTTTGAAAAAGAGAATGACGTTCCCCTGAAAAATGAGGAATTTGAAGTGACCAAAACAGCAGGTGTGTAAGAGTGGATTGTGGACATGGAACCCAGATACGGGGGGGGGGGGTGGGGGGGGGGGGGGGGGGGGAGGTGACAAAGGAGGGCCATCGGGCCACGCGGTGAGGGAGGACTGTTGCAGGGCACATCCGGGCTACAGGCCAGGCATCCGCAAACTGTTCCTGTAAAGGGCCCATAGTAAATATTTTCAGGTTTGTGGGACCCTTGGCCTCTGTTGCAACTGCTCGACCTGCCCCATCAGGCAAAGGGCACACCACGTGTCAGTGAGCGGATGTGGCTAAGTTCTAACAAAACTTTCATACTTGATGAACTTGGAAATGTGAATGCCATGTCACTTTCCCATGTCACAAAATGCCATTTCTTGAGATTTTTGTTAAATGCCCTTAGCTCAAGAGTAGCGGGCCATGCTGTGCCAATCCCTGATCGATAGCTCTGGTCCATGGGAGCGCTGTGACCTCCATACGGCCTGGCTGTCCTGTGCTCTGTGACCAGGAACAGCTTCAAGATTGGGACCTGGCCGGTGTTCTTAGTAGGTAGAGTGTTGGCCCGCACACCAAAGGGTCACAGGTTTGATTCCTGATCAAGGGCAAGTACCTGGGTTGCAGGTTGCATCCTCGGTCCCAGTTGGGGCATATGTAGGAGGCAACCAATCAGTCTCTCTCTCTCTCTCTCTCTTTCTCTCTCTCTCTTTTCTCTTTCTCTTTCTCTCTTTTTCTCCCTCTCTTTTTCTCTCTGTCTGTCTGTCTTCCCCTCTCTCTCTCTTGGGTGATGATTAACAAAAGATTGGACCTCCTGAGCTCCTGAAAGCCACCCACCCACCCAATCCTCTGAGCCATTTTTGCCACCAAGGGCTGATGCTGAACAGAATGGGGTGGGAGCTCTGAAGTTGGGGCTTGGTGTTCCAGAGCAAGGGTGGACCAGTGAGTGGTTAGGATGATGGACAGGGAGCTAGCCAAGAGGGGAAGCCCTGAGGGTCCTGGATTTCAGGGGAAAGATGAGGTGAAGAGACCCATGTGGCTATGAATGTCACTAGGCATGAAACCCCGGGAAGAAGACCGCATGGGCAGTGCTTTAGGGAGGAAGCGCCTGAGTCTGGATGAGTCCTGATTGCAGGCCCTTGAGGACATGGGGACCATTCAGAGCAGAGGCCAAGGACAGAGCAGACCCCGAGCCCTAGGGCACACAGTAGAATCGCACAGGGAGTCAGGGTCTGGCTAGGTGTGGCGGGTGGTGTCTGCTGTAAAGGCATCATATGGTCCTTGAACAAGTTTGCCGGTGATACGCCTGGCCCCCGCCATTTGTTTTCAGTGTGGCAAAAAGGACCATGATTTTCCCACCTTGAACTCTCCTGTGGACTCCCACTGCCCTCAGGAAAGGCCCACCAACCTCTTCACGTTTTTCTGTCTCACCCGTAAGACTCGGGGCTGGGCTTCCTTCCACTGCACTTAGCTTTGGGGACTGCTCCCCGCTCTGCCAGTCCCCACTGGGCCCTACGCTGGCCCAAGAGCGTCGGGGCAGACTCACGGGCACTACCGTGCGTTTCTTACTTTGCAGTGACCCACCGGCCTGGGGCGTTCAAGGCCGAGCTGTCCAAGCTGGTGATCGTGGCCAAGGCGGCACGCAGTGAGCTGTGACCGGCAGCCCACGGTGGGCGGCTTTCTCGTCTCTGCCGAAAGGGCAGTGCCTGAGACCTGGCGTCACTGGTTTTCTAGGGGCACCGTTGTTTTCTGCCTGGCTGATGCTGCCCTCGGGTCCCCAGGGTGGCTGAGGCCCTGGGGCAAAGGCCAGGGGCCAGGAGGTTGAGCGGTACTGTCTCCCCCCACCCCCCACCAGCTCCCCATCTTCCCCCCACCACCACACCCCCCGCCCCGCCCCGCTCTTCTGAACCAGAGCGTGGGCCGAGCCTGCTGCTGCCGGTCTCACCAGGAGAGGCATCAGCCCGGGGGGTCGCAGCTCTCCTCGCGCCAGCGTGGCCCCTTGGGGTCAGGCCAGGCTCCGGGTGCTCGGGGAAGAGTAGTCCTGCTGCCCTCTGACCTCAAGTTGACTCTTTTATTACAATTTCCCCAGGAGACCACCTTCCAGACCAACTGGAAAGAAATGAAATGTCCTTTTGTATTTAAATAAAAGAGTGAAAAGGAACTGCATAGCCTAGCTGTCTGGTGCTGGTGCCGCCTGGCAGGGGACGCGGGCACGGGCCCGGGTGACAGCAGCAGGACTGGCTGCCCACTCCCCTTCTCTCCTGGAAACAGGCGGCTGTGTCCCCAGGACACGGGGTTTCAGGCACAACCTTTCTGTAGGTGCAGAAGCAGCGTGATCTGCGGGGGCAGCGTGAGCCTGCTCCCGGCTGGGCTGCGCGGCCCTGGACCGTCAGGCAGACCCGCGCACCCAGCGGGTCACACAGGCCCCGGTGAGGGTGGCCACTCCCCGGCTGACCTCTTTTGACCAGGTGGTGGCTTTGCTTAGTTTTCTAAAGCCAGGTTATAGCAGGGCGATTAAATAAATAAATAAATATAAATGGAACCCAAATCAGAGGTGCCTTGGTCTCCCGGCTGTGGGGCGGGCTGGGAGTCTAACTTCTGACCGTGTCTCCACGAGCAAACGTGGCTGTGAATCGGGTCCTTCCTAATTGGAGTCACCATGTTGGATCAGCGGAGCCTCTCTGTACCTTCACTCACCTGTGCCCGCTTCCCGGAGCAGCAGTGAGCTGGGAGCATCTGGGGTCCTGTCCGAAGTCTCGCCTGTAGCCGAAACCGGTTTGGCTCAGTGGATAGAGCGTAGGCTGAAGGGTCCCGGGTTCAAATCCGGTCAAAGGCATGTGCCTTGGTTGCGGGCACGACCCCAGTGCGGGGTGTGCAGGAGGCAGCTGGTGGATGTTTCTCTATCATCGATGTTTCTGACTCTGTATTCCTCTCTGTAAAAAAATCAATAAAATATATTTAAAAACAAAAAACAGCCCTGATGGGTTTGGCTCAGTGGATAGAGTGTCAGCTTGTGGACTGAAGGGTCCCAAGTTCGATTCTGGTCAAGGACATGTACCTTGGTTGTGGGCACATCCCCGGTGGGGGTTGTGCAGGAGGCAACTGATGTTTCTCTCTCACCGATGTTTCTAACTTTCTATCCCTCACCCTTCCTCTCTGTAAAAAAAATCAATAAAAATATATTTATTAAAAAAAAAAAAAATCTCACCTGTAGGCAGCAGAGCAAGACTCACTCACCTGTCCATACCCCCGGTGGCCTGCAGTCAGATTGGGGTCATGAGCGTAAAGAATAACTGTTCTCAAAACAACCATTGAAGAGGGACGTGGGCCCTGACGATGTTCAGGGAAGGAATCAGCCAGCCTTGGCCTCTGCTCGGGAGAGGAGATCTGAAGGCTGCACATCACCGGGAGGGTCCGTGCCCAGTGACGGCCCAGCCAGCCCGGTCACCACAGCCCAGAGACGATCGTCCGGGCCTCCTGCCACACTGGGCAGCTGGCACGGCCCTGAGGTGTCGGCGGAGGGAAGGGGATTTTTCCAGTCAGCCCAGAGTCACCGCTACCAAATCCCTGGGTGTCCAAGGGTGCGGAGCAGTGGGTGCCAGGCGCCAGGACACGGGAGGGCATCTCAGGACACACACAAGCTTCCCCTGCCCCATGTGACACATGTGCATCTTGATGTAGCTGTTGGGTACTTTCAAGAACAGGACCTTCCAGCAGGAGGAGGGGCTCAACGAAACCCTAGCCTACGCGTGCAGAGCCACGCTCGGCCACTCGGCCACACCGTCGTCAGCGCAAGAGCAGCAGAGACCACGCCTCGGCAAGGGCCACAGGTACGCACCTTCACCTCCAGCCTCAATTTAAAAGGCAAAACGCCCTGGCTGGTGTGGCTCAGCTGGTAGGAGCTTTGTCCTTGTGCCAAAAGGTCCGTCCCAGAGTCGATCCCCAGTGGGGACGTGCAAGAGGCAGCCTATCCATGCTTCCTCCCTCCCTTCACTCCAAAAATCAATGAAAATGTCCTTGAATGAGGATTTTAAAAAATGAATGAGGCAAAAACTGGTCAAACTTCTGATCAATATGGCAGAATAGGAAAACACTACTCCCATGACCATATCAAAGTTACAACTAAATTACAGAACAGCCATTCTTGAGGACCACCTGCAGACAGTTGAACAAAACTGTAGGACTATAAAGAAGCCATGCTGAGACTGGAGCGGAGGGTGGAGCTGAGGAATGGGCAGGTTCCATCCCTGTGTGTAGCAATAAGGATTGGGAGGGCAGCCGAAACTGGTTTGGCTCAGTGGATAGAGCATCGGACTGCGGACTGAAAGGTCCCAGGTTCAATTCCGGTCAAGGGCATGTGCCTTGGTTGCAGGCACACCCCCAGTAGGAGGTGTGCAAGAGACAGCCGATCGATGTTTCTCTCACCGATGTTTCTAACTCTCTATCCCACTCCTTTCCTCTCTGTAAAAAAGCCAATAAAATATATTTTAAAAAAGAATTGAGAGGGCCTCGGCCAGTGTGCTCAGTGGTTAGAGCGCTGGCCCATGCACCGAAGTCAAAGGCACGCACTTGGATTGCAGGTTCTATCCCTGGTCTCAGTGACGGCCTGTGTGGGAGGCAACCAATCAGTGTGTCTCTTATCACATTGATGTTTCTCCCCTCCCTCTCCTCCACTTTCTAAAAGTCATTGGGAAAATATCCTCTGGTGATATAACTGGGTGCCCCCTCTAGCGGGCACCAGTGTTTTTGCATCTGGTTGTGAAACCAGCAGGGATTGCCTCTGGGAGAGACTGCTAGAAACTGAGGCACTGCTCTTTCAGGGCTTGAGAACAGACTCATTGCTCAACTCACTGAGCCGCAGCACAGGGGCAGCAGCTCAGAAAGCCCCAGGGACTACGGAGAGAACTGAGTTAATTCCCGGCAAGGACTCCAGGAGCAGGGAGTGGGGCGACTGGAGACAGAAGCGTCACAGACACCATTGCTTCTTTGTTGAGCCTCCCCAACCCACTGACAGGCCCAGGCAGGCACCAAATCTGTGTTCTCCGTTAACCTGGCTACCACCACCCCTTCCATAATACTCAGACCTTTCCCCACTAACTCACTCACCCCGCCTGAGTGCTGCTAGCGGCTTCCCCACACAGGCAGTCTGCCTCGCTTCACGCTGCAGAGTCCACAACCTCACACGAGTGATGGCCGCCCTGAGGCTTGTGCTGTAGACTTTGCCAAGTCCCCTAAATCCCAAACAAGCAGTGGCCAGCCTAGCGCACCTCACAGCAATTGCCTAGTGGCTCCGATCCCAGCACACGTCATGATCCGTCTCAATTTGAGTTTTAACTCCCGTCAGGTAGCTGCAAGCCTGGCATAGATGGCAGCCAGGCTGGGCTTGGAAATGCAGCTTCCACTCAGCAGCCACAGACCTGACAGGTGGCGCTGTCCTCGGCTCGCACTGGGACGCCCTCCAAAGGGGCCCGAGCAGCCGGCCTCCGTTCATAGCATAACCTCTCCCAAGTGCCTCTACGGCCAGCACCAGCGGCAACCAACCGCAGATCACTTGGCAGATCCCTCCAAATGGCCCAAAGCCTGGCCCGAGCCACAGCCGAACGTGGCCTGTGCTGGCATCCCTCTCAGGCTCCAGAACCAACACACCCAGTGGCTGGCTTCAAACGACACCAATGCCCTGCAAACGTGACGCCTGCTCCATGGGGTCGTCCCTCACACAGCTCATCTGCTGGACTTGCAAACAGTCCTCAGAGCCCATCAGTCTAAAGGGCTACTCCACCACCGCCATGCCAGCAGCAGTCAAGGCCCAGCTACAACAGGAGGGCGCACCCAGCCCACTCAGGTCAGCCCAGAGCATCCGCTCAGGTGACCAAGGAGACTGCGCCACTGGGCCCACCGGACACCTACTGCATAAGGCCCTTCTGTCAAGAACAGAGACACGGCAGATCTATGTAATGCATAGCAACGGACACAGGGAGGCAGCCAGACTGAGACAACAAAGAAATATCCCAAATGCAAGGGCAGGACAAAACTCCAGAAAAAGAACTAAGTGAAATGGAGGCAATCAAAACACTGGTTATAAGGATGCTCAGTAAACTTAGGGGAAGAACAAACTCAGAAATTCTAACAAAGAGATAGGAAACATTAAAAGAGGGTTGAAAATATGAACCAATTAGAATGAAGAATGTAACAGTTGAAATGAATACACTAGAGCAGCAATTATCAACCAACCAGTGTGCCACAATAATTTTAAAAGATATATATTGATTTTTTTTACAGAGAGGAAGGGAGAGGGAGAGTTAGAAACATTGATGACAGAGAAACATCGATCAGCTGCCTCCTGCACACCTACTGGAGATATGCCCACAACCAAGGTACATGCCCTTGACCGGAATCGATCCTGGGACCTCTCAGTCCACAGGCCAACCTTCTATCCACTGAGCCAAGCGGGTCAGGGCCACAATAATTTTTTAAAACATGCAATACCTGACTATTTAGTCAGGGGCACTGACCTCTTTTCCCATCGATTGTAAAAAGAAAACAACAGCCAACACAAACAATAGCCGTCTGGTGTGAGTGAATCAAAATTACACCATATATATATATATATATATATTTATTTTTTTTTTTTCAAAGTTTGAAAATCACTGCACTAGGGGGAATCAATAGCAGATTAGATGAAGCAGAGGATCAAGTCAGCAAATGGAAGACAAAGGTGGTGGAAAATACCCAATTAGAACAGCAAAAAGAGAAAAATCTTTTAAAATGAAGTTAGTGTGCCCTAGCTGGTTTTGCTCAATGGATAGAGCATTGTCCTGCAGACTGAAGGATCCGGGTTCAATTCTGGTCAAGGGCACATGCCCGGGTTGCGGGCTTGATCCCTGGTAGGGGGCATATAGGAGGCAACTAATCAGTGATCCTCTCTTATCACTGATGTTTCTATCTATCTCTCTCTCCCTTCATCTCTGAAATCAATAAAAATATATTTTTAAAAATAATTTTTAAAAATGAAGGTAGTTTAAGGGATCTCTCAGGCAGCCTCAGGCATACAGACATTGCATCCTCAGGGTATCAGAGGGGAGCAGGAGGTTGAAAACCTATTTGAGCCCTAGCCAGTTTGGCTCAGTGATAGAGTGTTGGTCCGCTGACTGAGGGTCCCAGGTTCTGTTCCAGTCAAGGACACATACCTGGGTTGCAGGCTTGATCTCTGGCCCTTGTCAGGGCATGTGAGGGAGCAACCAATCGATGTGTCTCACATCGATGTTTCTGTCTCTCCCCTTCCTTCTCCTCTCCAGAAATCAATGGGGAAAATATCCTCTGGTGAGGATTTTAAAAGGAAAAGAAAAGAAAACCTATTTTGAGAAGTAATAATGGGAAACTTCCCTACCCTGACAAAGGAAGCAGACATACAATGCCAGGAAGTGCTGAGTCTCAAAGAGGCCCACACCAAGACACATAATAATTAAAATGCCAAATGCTGAAGACAAGAATCTTAAAAGCAGGAAGTTACCTACAGAGGAGCTCCCACAAAACTGTCAGCTGAGCCCAGCTGATGTGGCTCAATGGTTGAGCGTCGACCTATGAACCAGAAAGTCGATTCCAGGTCAGGGTGCATGCCCAGGTTTTAGGTTCCATCTCTAATAGGTAACGAGGGGCAGCAGGCAGCCGATCGATAATTCTCTCATCAATGATGTTTCTCCCTCTCCCTTCCTCCCTGAAATCAATAAAATACATGTTTTTTAAAAAACTACAATGAGACCCATCTCACACCTGTCAGAATGGCTATCATCAATAAATTAACAAACGAGCTGAAACCAGTTTGGCTCAGTGGACAGAACGCCGGCCTGCGGACTAAAAGATCCCAGGTTCGATTCCAGTTAAGGGCAGTGCCTTGGTTGCGGGCACATCCCCAGTGGGGGGTGTGCAGGAGGCAGCTGATTGATGTTTCTCTCTCATCGATGTTTCTAGCTCTCTCTCTCCCTTCCTTTCTGTAAAAAAAATCAATAAAATATATATTTTTTAAAATAAATCAACAAACGACAAGTGTTGGTGAGGATGTGGAGAAAAGGAAACCCTCATGTACTGTTGATGGAATTGAAAAAATAGAGCAGTCATATCATCTAGCAATTGCACTTCTGGGTATTTATCCAAAGAAAACAAAAACACTAATTCAAAAAGATGTATGCTGCCAGGCCAACGTGGCGCACTGGCTGAGCATTGACCTATGAACCAGAAGGTCATACTTCAGTTCCCGGTCAGGACACATACCTGGGTTGCTGGCTCGATCCCCAGTGTGGGGCGTGCAGGAGGCAGCCAACCAATGACTGATTCTCTTTTGTCACCGATGTTTCTATCTCTCCTTCTCCTTTCCTCTCTGAAATTAATAATAATAATAATAAAAAGATATGTCTCTATGTTCACTGAAGCATTATTTACAGTTGCCAAGATATGGAAGCAGCCTAAGAGCTGATCAATAGATAAATGGATAAAGGTGTGGTAGATATATACAATGGAAAAAAGAATGAAATCTTACCATTTGCAACAACATGGGTGGGCCTAGAGGGAATTATGCTAAGTCAGACGGAGAAAGACAGTCGCCATATGATTCCACGTACACGTGGAATGGAAAGACAAAACGGCCCTGGCTCTGGGCTGGGGCGAGCACCGAGAGGTTGCCCGGGAGTTGCCTGTTCGATTCCCCGTCAGGGCATGTATCCAGGCTGTGGGAGGCAACCAATCGATATTTGTCTCATCCATGCTTCTCTTTCCCTCTCCCTTCCTATAAATAAATAAATAAATAAATAAATAAAGATAAAAAACAAAATGAACAAACTCATATTGTAGATACAGAGAAAAAACTGAAGGCTGCCAGATGGGAGGAGGTGGGAGGCCAGGTAAAAAAGGTGAAAGCGCCGAAACCGGTTTGGCTCAGTGGTAGAGCGTCGGTCTGCGGACTGAAAAGTCCCGAGTTCGATTCCGGCCAAGGGCATGTACATTGGTTGCAGGCACATCCCCAGTAGAGGGTGTGCAAGAGGCAGCTGGTCGATGTTTCTCTCTCATTGACGTTTCTAGCTCTCTATCTCTCTCCCTTCCTCTCTGTAAAATATCAATAAAATATATTTAAAAAAAAAAAAAGGTGAAAGGATTTAAGAAATACAAATTGCCAGTTATAGTAGTCACAGGGGCATAAAGTACAGCCTCGGGAATATAGTCATAATATTGTAATAACTGTGTATGGTGCCAGGTGAGTACTAGACTTACCGAGTGACCACTCTATAAGGTTCATAAGTGTCTAACCACTATGCAGTACACCTGAAACTAATATAATACTGTATGTCAACTGGAATCGAAAAAGCATTTTTTAAAGATTTTTCCCCCTTCCAATCCTCACGGAGGACATGCCTATTGACTGGGAAGAAAGGAGGGAGGGAGGGATGTGAATGTGAGAGAAACGTAGATCAGTTGCCTCCCGTATGCTCCCCAACCAGAGACCAAACCCACAACCTAGGCATGTGCCTAACCCAGAATTGAACCCACAACCCTTCAGTGCATAGGATGATGGCCCAGACAACTGAGCCACACCAGCCAGGGAGGGCAAAACATCAAGGAGAAAACTCAGCACCAAGCAATTCAAGTCAGTTTCACATAATGACATGTGCTTTTATTTAAATTGTTCTGTAGTGCTCTTTGGTTTTTCAAAATTAAATCCCAAACTTATAAAGAGTCAAGAGACAGAACAGCCCATCAAGGAACAAGTACAAGCATTATGCATATTGATAAATTCAGCAGAGCTGAGGGCAAAGAATTTCATCTGGGGCTTCTCAGGACACTCAAAATGCACGTTTGCTCTTGAACATGAAGATCTGTCTCTTAACTGGAGCAGTAAGTGGGGAGTTGGCCTTGAGCGGTGACGTAGGAGGTAGGAACGGCTTTGGCTTCTTCAAGGAAGCAGAAACCAAACCACAGAAAGGCTGATCTGAATCTGGGGGCATGATCTTCTCAGCCAGCACCTCAGGCCAGGGAGAGGCAAAAGGGAGCGGTGGAGACTGTGGCTAAGCAGAGAGGGGCAACCTCTGTGCAGCTTCACCAGCAGGCAGTTTTTGAGAGACTCCAAATCTAGATTGGCACGTGCAATTCCCCGGTTTCAAATGTTGTCAACTGGTCCCAGGTGGCTCAAACAGGATGGGGCAAGCAAACCTCCTCACCGCGGCCTGCAGGCTTCCTGTTTGCAACCTTTGCCCCGGGAGGAACTAGACCGAGTCCTCAGATCATTCCCCCTCTCCCTTGGGCACCCAGAACAACCTTCCTGGCATGGCAAGACCTGTAGCCCTGTTTTGCAATCGATGCCACCTTCTGACAAAATTTGCAAATGCGCTCCCACACCCCACATATCTGCTAACGTGTGAGAACTCCCCAAGGTGTCCCCAAGGCCAAGATTTGTGAGCTTTGCTTTCAGAGGACTGAAAAACATTTGTTAGTGTGTGTGTTTCTCAAACATGAAATGATCGTTGGAAAATGCGATGCCTCTCAGATGGCTTTTTCCGTGTGCCCAGCATGGAGAACGCACTCTGTTCCCTCCATGTGGGAGTCAGGGCGAGGATCCCAAGCAAATCGAGGTGTCCTCACCCACACACCAGCGCACGGCAGCCCCTTCATGGCTCCCTGTGCCCGCTGCCTGGGCCGGGCGGCTGGACGGTGACTGTTCCCTCTGAGTCACGGAGGCCAAAGTCTGAGGCCCAGCTTCCGCCAGGCGGCTCCTTCTCAGGGCCGCCCCAAGCCTCCCTCCCGGCGCTGGGGGTGCTGGCCATCCTGGGTGTTCCTTGCTCTGTAGCACATCCCAGCTTCACATGGCATTCTCCTCTGGCTCAGATGTCTCCCTTTTAGAAGTGTCCCGGTCACTCCGGGTTAGGGCCCACCGTGATCTCATCTCAAACGATGCTGTCAGCAGCGGCCCTGTTTTCCACGTTTGGGTCACACTCGGAAGTCCTGGGGTTAGAACTTCCACAAAGGGGGGTCCTGCTCACCCCGTTACTTCCTTCCAGTCCAGTGTGACTCCTCTGAAGGGATTAAAAAGCCCGGGTTACACTGCAGCGGGCAGCACCAGCTGTCAGATGGCGCCAGTGAGCTGAGGGCTGCCATCGGGCATCACGGCGCAGGACGGGGACCAGGTGTGTGAGGAGCCACCGGCCTCGCAGGCTGTGCTGTTCCCACGCCGAGTCCTCTCCAGAGAGAGGAGGTGGGAGAGGTGACGGGTCCATGAAGCTGCTGCTCTAAACGGTTCAGCAGCCTCTGAGAGGGGCAGGGCACTGTCCGGGGAGTTTGGCTAGAATCAGACCGGGGATAAAGAGGCCATTAAATACGATAATCCCACACCCCCCGGCCCCGCGGAAGGCGGGAGGCGGTCATATGCTGTCCTCGTCCAGCATCCTGGCGAGCCCCTCGCAGATGCGGCGCCGGTGGGAGCAGTAGGGCTCGGCCGGCCCGTAGAGCACCGCCAGGAAGTCGCCGTCGGCCAGGTGGCCGAAGACGTGGTTGATGCGGCCGTGGGACTTGGCGGAGAGGTGCGGGCCCACGGCCTGCTGCAGCAGGTCCCGGCACTCGAGCAGGGCGGCGGCCAGCACGCGCCGGTCGAAGGTGAAGTCCACCTGGTGGAAGCTGACGGCCGTCATGGCCAGCCGGCGCGCCCCCTGGCGGAAGCGCTGCAGCAGCGCCAGCTCCTCCCCGGCCAGCTGGCCGCCGCGGAGCAGCAGGCCCAGCTTCACGGCCACCTTCACCAGGTTCTTGAGCACCTTCTGGGCCTCCTTGCGGCTGCGGGTGAACTCCCTGGTGGCGCGGTACAGCTCGTCCAGCACCTCGCTGCTCGTGTCGTCCAGGAGCGCGCTCACCGTCGCCTTGGACGCCACCTTGCTCAGGAGCTTCTTCTGGGCCTGCAGGGCCAGGCTCTTGGTGCTGAAGGTGTCCATGAGCCTGCGGGACGGACCAGCATCAGTCCCGCGGCCCGGGCCCGCCCCTTCCCTGGGGGCCTCCCGTCCGCCCCGCAATGCCCTGGCCTCTCCCCGGGCAGGCTCACCCCTCAGCTCCGCCTGGACTCCACCTCCTCCAGAAAGCTATCCTGAGGGAAGGCATGCCCCAGGCACCCCCATCCCGCTCTGCTCGCTCCCCCCTGCTTTGCTTCCCCGCGGGTCTGCCCCGCCCCAGGCCACAGTGGGAGCAAAGGGCCAGAAGCCTCACCCGCTGTGTCCTTGGAGATCCAGAAGCATCTGCCGAAGGAATAAGAGGAACCCCAGCCCCAGCCCCAGGCCTCACCCGCTGCCCCAGGCCCCGGTCAGAATCCACCCCCACCCTGGCCTCAGGCCGGCCAACCAGGAATGCCCTGTGGCTCCCACTCACACCCAGGGGCTCCTTCAAAGCCTGTCTTTGTGGGAGCTCAGGCCCCGAGGCGGCCCTCCCGGAGGTTAGGGCGCCACAGGGATTCCGGGAGCGGCCCTCCCTGCCCCCACCCGTCACCGGACCTCGGGGCTTCACAGGCCGGGCCACGGAGGGGACCCCCGACTCGGCCGCGCGGCGGCCCTGCGCTGGCACGGTGCCCGTTTGCCATTCCCCGGGCAGGGGGCGGCTGCCCATTCTGCCAGAGAGAGCACAGAGCTGGGCCCGTCCTGAGGCCACTCAGGAGCACGGTGCTCCCCAGCGCACTCCCACAGCCTCCGCCTTTCCCAGCCCCGAGTCCTGGAGGCTGTCCCCCCTGACAAACCAGCCCTCTGACCACTGGGTCAGGAGACAGAACCGCCGTGCCTCAGTCTCCCCTTTTGTAAAACGGGGAAGAACTAGCTGCCCTGGAGCAGGAGCCCGTGGCCAACCCAATGCCCGCCAGACTGTGCCCACCCCCTGGGCAGGAGCTGGACCTCGAAGCCATTAGCCACCTGGATGTGAAGCCTCTGTGACAGCAGCAGCGTCAGGCTGGCCACTGGGCACAAGTACCAGTGGCTCGAGAACATTCTACCCCATTCCCTTTACTCTGCCTATAAACTGCTCATCCTTCAAGTCTCAGCATCACTGTCACCCACTCCTGGAAGCCTTCCCAGAGGCCCCAGGCTGGGCCAGGTGCCCCTGGCTCCTCGACGCCCTGGGCATCCTCCACGTGGCCCCAGGACCTCGGTGGCCATGCCCACCTCGCTGGCCCAATGGCAGGCGCAGAGGCTGTTCACCCGCGTCCCCATGGCAGCCCGGGGCCTGGCACTAAGAGCAGGCGGCCGTGTCTGCGAACACTGGGACGAGAGAGTACTCCCAAGGCCTGGCTCTCATCTCCCCAGTTTACAGATGGGCAAACTGAGGTTCAGAAAGGAGCGTTCTCTGCGTCCAGGGCTGAGGCCAGGCTCTGGACCCCAAGGGCCCTGGAGCCCCGTTCCTTCCACCTGTTTGGGTTGCTGTGTGAGCCCAGGCAGGCTCTGCCCTTCTCTGGCCTTGGCCTTCCCACCTGTAGGACTGGGGTGAGGCGTGCAGGTTCTAGAGGAGAGTTGGGCCTGTGCACGGTCTCTAGAAAGGGCCTGGGGCACCACAGCACCCCCGCCCCGAGCCGGAAGGAAAAGGGGTGGGAGTGGAGGCAGCTGGGCCTCCCTCCCGCCTCCTCACACTTCCAGCCCCTCCAGCCAGTCCCCTGTCCGCACCTGGGCCAGCCAGCTGCATGCCCGCCCCTCCTCCCACCCATTGTTCTGCCAGAAACACTGCAAACAGGTCATGGATCAAAATAAACGCTGGCCTTCCTTCCTGCCTGCGGTGCTCACAGGTCCGAGGCGAACAGGCCTGGAGAGGCCAGCCCCTCTGAGTGAGGGTCTTTCCGGGAACTGCCGAAGTTCAGGGCCAGGTGGCTCGTGTCCCTGCCCCGGCCCAGCAGATGCCATAACCCACTCTCATTACAGCCAAAAGCCCACTGACGTTTTAGAGCAGCGGCTCTCAGCCTTCCCAATGCCGCGACAGCTCCTGCTGGTGTGGTGACCCCAACCATAAAATTATTTTCGTGGCTACTTCATAGAGACTAAGACCATCAGAAAACACGATGTTTACATTACGATTCATAACAGTAGCAAAATTACAGTTAAGAAGTAGCAACGAGAATAATTTTATGGCTGGGGGTCACCACATCAGGAGGAGCTGTATTAAAGGGCCGCGGCGTGAGGAAGGTTGAGAACCACTGCTTTAGAGGCTGTGCCAGAACATTCATTCAGTTGCTCCATGAGCATTTATGGAGCACCAAGTGTGTACCAGGCACTGGGAATACACCTATGACAAAAAAAAAAAAAAAACCTGGCCCCTGCTCCCCTGGGGATCCCCACCTTAGACCCCACGCCAATTCCTTATTACAAAACCATTTGGGCGCTCCAGTCTCCCCTGAAATGGACCCGGCAGGCACCTCTACCCGCCAGTTTAAAAGTAAAATCAATAGCCGGGACCGGTTTGGCTCAGTGGACAGAGCGTCGGCCTGCGGACTGAAAGGTCCCGGGTTCGATTCCGGTCAAGGGCATGTACAATACATTGGTTGTGGGCGCATCCCCAGTGGGGGGTGTGCAAGAGGCAGCTGGTCGGTGTTTCTCTCTCATCGACGTTTCTAACTCTCTATCTCTCTCAATTCCTCTCTGTGTAAAATCAATAAAATATATTTTAAAAATAAATAATAAATAAAAATAAAATAAAAGTAAAATCAATACAGGGTGAAACAGGCCACCATGTGAGGGGAATGGGGCATGGGGTCTGGGGTGCTTCATGTTCTGTTCAATCTGGGGCCATACGCATACAGAACACCACTGAGTTAGTTGGCGGCACCAAAACCCAGCGAAGTGTACACTTTAAAAGATAAAGACAGTATCGGCCGAGACTAGTTTGGCTCAGTAGATAGAGCGTCAGCCTGCGGACTGAAGGGTCCCGGGTTCGATTCCGGTCAAGGGCATGTGCCTTGGTTGCGGGCGCATCCCCAGTGGGAGTGGTGCAAGAGGCAGCTGATCGATGATTCTCTCTCATCGATGTTTTTAACTCTCTATCCCTCTCTCTTCCTTTCTGTAAAAAAATCAATAAAATATATTTTAAATATATATATATCACCCTGACCGGTGTTTCTTAGTGGTTAGATCATTGGCCCAAGTACCAAAGGGTCACAGGTTCAATTTCCAGTCAAGGGGATGTACCTGGGTTGCAGGTTCGATACTCAGCCCCCATTTAGGGCACATGCAGGAGGCAACCAATCGGTGTATCTCTCTCACATCTCTCACACATCTCTACCTCTCCCCACCCCCTCTCTCTCCTTTCTTCCTTCCTTCCTCCTCACTTCCTCCTCACTTCCTCCTACCTCCCTACATGCCTTCTACTCTCTCTAAAAATCAATGGAAAAGCGTGGCTCAGTGGTTGAACGTTGACCTATGAACTAGGAGGTCTGGTTCAATTCCCGCCTAGGGCACATGTCCTGGTTGTGTGCTCTGTCCCCAGTGGGGGACATACAGGAGGCAGCTGATCAATAATTCTCTCTCATCATTGATGTTCCTACTTCTCTTTCCCTCTACCTTCTTCTCTGAAATCAATTATATATATATATATATATATATATATATATATATATATATATATATATTGTACATATATAAAATTTAATATATTTTATTGATTTTTTATAGAGAGGAAGGGAGAGGGATAGAGAGAAACAATGATGACAGAGAAACACCTATCAGCTACCTCTTGCACACCCCCCACTGGGGATGTGCCCGCAATGAAGGTACATGTCCTTGACCGGAATCGAACCTGGGACCTTTCAGTCTGCAGGCCAACGCTCTATCCACTGAGCCAAACCGGTTTTGGCTAAAAATATATATTTTTTTAAAAATTAATAGAAAAAATATCCTTGGGTGAGGATTAACAACAAAAGACAGTATCAAGTGCTGGTGAGGCTGCGGAGAAACTGGAACCCGCACACGTACAGATGGCATGAAAAATGGAGAATGGTGCGGCCGCTGTGGAAAACAGCACTGGCAGTTCCTCAAACACAGAGTCACTGCGTGACCCAGCAATTCCGCTCATAAACGTCCACTCCCCCAAAACGAAGACACATGTCCACACAGAAACTCGCACACACATGTTCAGAGCAGCACAATTCGTGTACCCAAAAGTGAAAGCCCCAAGGCCATCAACAAGTGAGTGACAGAATGTGGCCCACACAGCGGAGGTCACCGAGCCACGAAAGGAGCGAAGCGCTGACCCTCACCTCAGTGTGGATGGAGCTTGGGCACAGGGTGCTCAGTGAGAGGAGCCAGACCCAAAGGCCACAGCGTGTGGTTCGTCCGGACAGGCTCATCCACAGGGGCTGGAGGGGGTGAGGACTGGCTGCTGATGGAGGGAGGGCTTCTTTTAGGGGTGGAGGAATGTTCTGGAATTTGAATACTTTAAAAATTGTGAGTTTATATCTCATCAAGCGGAGCACTCACTATTAAGTGTATATACCCATTATCTTTATGTATACTTTATAGCTCATTTTTTATAATGCTAAATTAATTAAAAAATAGGACTTGACCCAAACTGCAATGCAAACAAAGTGAGATGATGCCATAAGATTTGTCAGTCACTTTCACATTGACAGGCACTCAGTAGGTGCTCAGGACAGGTCTGTTTTTTTTTTGTTTGTTTGTTTGTTTGTTTTTTTAATTGATTTTAGAGAGAGAAAAAGGGAGAGGAGATTTGTTATTCTACTTATTTATGCATTATTGATTGATTCTTGTATGTGCCCTGACTGGGGATCAAACCTGAAACCTTGGCATATTGGGATGACATTGATGAGAGAGAAACATCAATCAGCTGCCTCCTGCACACCCTCTACTGGGGATGTGTCCGCAACCAAGGTACCTGCCCTTGACCAAAATCGAACCTGGGACCCTTGAGTCCACAGGCTGACATTCTATCCACTGAGCCAAACTAGTTATGGCTTGGGATGACTTTCTAACCAACTGAGTTGCCTGGCCAGGGTGAGACATGTTTGATTAAAAAGAATTTCCCTCCTGCACTCAGGGATGGAACAAATCTATCAGAGGTTTGCCATTATGGTGAACATCCTATATAATAAAAGGCTAATATGCAAATAGACCGAATGGTGGAACAGCCAGTTGCTATGACGTGCACTGACCACCAGGGGCAGATGCTCAACACAGGAGCTGCCCCCTGGTGGTCAGTGCACTCCCACAGGGGAAGTGCCACTCAGCCAGAAGCCCTGAGCTGGCCTCACGGCTGGCGAGCAGTGGTCTAAGCCAGCAGCTGGACATCCCCTGAGGGCTCCTGGACTGCAGGAGGGCGCAGGCCAGGCTGAGGGGCCCTGCCCCCTAATCTATGAATGTCATGCACCAGGCATCCAGTCTATATAGTAAAAGCCTAATATGTTAAGTGTCCGTTCATTCAACCGGTCGCTATGATGCTCACTGACCACCAGGGGGCAGACACTCCGGTAGGTTAGTTTGCTGTTGAGGTCCAGCCAATTGGGACTGGGTGAGACAGGCTGGACATGTCCTGGAGCCCTCCTGTGGTCCCTCCCTGGCCCCGATCGTGCACAGTGGGGTCCCTCGGCCTGGCCTGCGCCCTCTTGCAATCTGGGACCCCTCAGGGGATGTCCCCCTGCCGGCTTAGGTCCATGCACTGGGCTTCTAGTGTATAGTTATAAATACCTATCAAAAGAGTTCCATCTCTCCTCCATTGGCCCAGGAATATTCACTGAATATTAAAACGGTGAAGAAAAACAAAACAAAACAGCTCCACTCATCAGCTTGTTTTTGGCAGGACATTAGGAAGTGGAGGCCAAGGGCTGCCCTGCGCATGGCTGGACACCTAGTGTCCCTGGTCCCTGCCCCCAAACGCTAGAACATCCTGCTATTATCAGAAGCAAAAATAAAATAATAAAAAAATAGAAGTTTTCCAAATTTCCAAAATGGCCCCCTAAGAGATGTCGCCCACACTGGAAGGAGGTGCCAGAAATCAGTGAACATGGAAACAAACCGGATAATTCCAGGGCGGTGGGGGCAGGGAGGGACGTGGCAGGGACAGCAGGTGGCCTGGGCTGGGCTGTGGGAAGGCCTCTCTGAGGTGGTGCCTGGAGCGGGACAGAGCGGACAGGGTCCGGGAAGGCTGGCCGGGCGGAGGGAGCGGCCGTGCAGCGGTCCTGGGGCAGCACCTGCCCGCTGTGAGAGAACAGCAAGGCCACCGGCCGTCCACACCCCCCGCCCAGGCCTCAGGGCTCCGGACAAGCCCCACGCCCCAGGGGCAGCTTTCCCTCCTGCTGACCCCACTCTGCCCCCCACATTCTCCCCCAAAACGCTGGAGCCTGCCACGCTTCGGACGTTTGCTCTCTGCCAGCCCCATTTCAGGGTTTGGACTCCAACCTTTGTCCAAACGTTCCCATTTTGGACTCTCCAACTCCCGCTCTTCCTGGGAGCCACTCCCCACCCCCTCCTCCCCTCCCCCAGCGGCCACAGAGCCACTCCCGGCCTCCGATCCGCCTGCGTGGACATTCCACGGAAACGGAGTCACACGCCGTGGCTTCCCTCAACGAGCACCTTGTGCTCAAGGGCCACCCACCCTGTAGTGCATGTCAGTGAGTGCTTCCCTCCTTTTATGGCTAAATAGTATTCCACACCTTACTTCTAATACAATTAACCATAAGCTCTCAGTCTGTCATTTTTAATAAATTTGGCAAAATTCCTGGAAATACAGCGAGGGGCTCCTGTGAGCTGGGGTAAGCTCCACCGGCCACGGGCGGCCTGCCCACCACATGAATTCTTCATGCCCCACACAAAGGGCGTCAATAATTGATGCGCCCGCTGGGCAGGTCCAGACCAGCCACTCCTCTCCTCTGTCCTGGCTGCAGTGGCCACGGATGGCCGCAGGGGGCCACGGACCTCGTTCCCACACAGCAGGTCCCCGCTCCCCGGAGCCCTCTGTTAAGCACTGCCACGCTCACGGCTCCGTCAGCACTCGTTTTAGACACGGCCCCAGGGGAATCTGCCTGTCTGAGGCTGGGAGACACCAGTGGCTGTCAGACTGGGTTCCCTAGAGCCCCTGGGGGCCACGCCAAGGACAAGCAGGGTCTGTGAAAGCCAGGACACTTTCACCTGTAGTCAGATTTCTATCAGGAAGGTTTTGGGGGCCGAACAGGAGGAATGTTGGGAGTCTGCTGCCAAACCCATGCAAGGAAGCACAGGACCGGCTGGGCTAGGCCGAGCAAAAGATGTTGAGCAGCAAGTGGAGGCTTCAGGGCCACGTGGCAGGAACGTGGATGCAGCCCCTAAACGAGTTCTGGATTAGCACCTTTCTCACCTACCCAAGGCCTCACCCCCGTCCCGGGGCATCCCATGCTGTCCTCCCTGAGGCAGCCACCAGAGGGCGCCAGTGAACACCTAAGTGGGGCACCAGCCCGCTGCTTGCTTCCCCCCAGGCTATCCACCTCCTTCCTCTATCACCTCCCTGCCCTCACCTCCTCCTCCTTTCTCTTTTTCCTCCTCCTCCTCCTCCTCTTCCCTCTCCCCCTCCTCTTCTAGCTCACTCTGCCCAGCAGGCTTCCTCCCAGCTACTCCACACACCAGGCAGGGTCCTGCCCTAGGGCCATTGCTGGGTCTGTGCACGGGGGCCTGGAATTCCCCCCCCCCCCCCCCCCCCCCCCCGGGTCTCCGAATAGCTGTTTCTTCCTTGTCGTTCAGGGCTTAGATCAAATGCTGCCCCCTCAGGAGGCCCTCTCAGAACCCCCATTTAAACTAACATCCCCATCCGCCTGACCCCCATTATCTTCATGCAGTTACTACTACTAAGTGTTTTTCTGGCTGAAAGTACTTGTCTTCCAACCCTGAAGCTTGGCTCACAGTAGGTGCTCAGAATCTGTTTGGTGAACAAATAAACGACCTCTCCGAGGGTCACAGGGATCTCATTTGTGGGCCCCACTTTTCAGCCAGGAAAACAGACCAGAGACAGAGTTACCCCAAGGTTACAGAGCAGCACAGCAGGAGCCTCTCTGGAGGGGGGCTTCCCCGGTGGGGGCTCCCGACCCCACCATCGCGCCGGACTCAAGGGAAACCGAGGCCTGGAGGCACAGGCCTGACGCTCTCGAGGACTCTGGCTGTGGTCCCTCCAGAGAGCGCGGGAGGGCGGGATTCCAGGGGCGGCCTCATGGAGGGGCGTGGGCAGCCCGAAGAAGGGGGTACACTGAGGGGCGCACTGGTCCTGCCAGCTCTGGGCCCCCACCTCTCAGTGTGCAATACCTGGGGCTGAGCCCAGACAAGCAGGCGCTATCACTCAGCACCTGCCTCTAAGTGCGGCTGCCTCCATGCCAACCACCGGTCTTTCCCAGGCACTGTCTTGCGGCCCATTTGACAGACAGGGGCGCTGAGGCCTCCTAAGTCCACCTCATTAGACCACCTGCCCAGGCCTTTACCTGCCCAGGCCGCGGAGGACAGGCTCAGGGCCTCAGACACACCCCAGGCTACACAGCAGGAGGGGGCACCCCGAGGCCCCAAATCTGCACCTGACTAATTTCTTCTCTTGGGGACCCCCTGCCTGCTCCCCATCAGAACGGGACTCAAGACCCCCGGGGGTCGGGCCCTCACCTCTCGCTGGTGTCCCAGGCTCGGAGCCTGCCCAGCGGGAGCAGCACAGCCAGGTGTTTGTGCGGCCGCGGCTCTTTGTTACGGTTTCCATAGGCACGCGTCCCTGCCTCCTCCACCCTCCAGCTGCCCGGCCCTCGGCCCAGCCCATCTAGGCAACTTGTTATGTTTTAAAATTGACTTTGTGCACCTGGCAAGCACACAGGCCCCGAGGCAGGCCGAGGCCTGGGTGTGCACGTGGAGGCGGTGTGCCTGGGCAGTTAGAGGGGAAGTGGGCGGGCGTGAGGGCCAGGAGAAATGCCTCTTTACTCCATTTTGGAGGGGGAAAGTGAGGACCAGAGAAGGGAAGGGAACTGCCTGGGGACACGAAGGAGACCCCCATTCCTGCATTTAATCCTGGGAGCAGCACTGAGCCCCAGGAGTTATGGTCCTTCCATGGCACAGACAGGAAACTGAGGCTGGGAGAATGGATCACCTGTGTGTGGCGGAGTGGGAACGCAGGTTTGTCAGATTCCAAGATCCGAGCTCCCCTCCAGGGGTCGGCAAACTCCTTAGTCAACAGAGCCAGATATCAACAGTACAAGGATTGAAATTTCTTTTGAGAGCCGAAAAACCGACTTCTGTGCATGGGCCACCAAGTCTCAATAGCACTGTACGCACAAGCCCGCAGGTGGTATTTTGTGGAAGAGCCACACTCACGGGGCCAAAGAGCCGTGGTTTGCCGACCACTGCCCTAACCACTTGCACAACTGCTCTCACCCATCTGCAGCCCCTCAGGGCCCTCACCTCCTCCAGCTGGGCTCAGACAGACTCAGGAGGTAACCATGGAGACCTGGTTACACCGGGGGCTGCCCCTCCTCCAGGGGCCCAGAATGGAGGAGTAGTGAGGCCCGCAGATCCGGGTCAGCTCCCCCGCCAGTTACCCCAGCGGGCGACAGTCCCAGTTCACAGCTGGCAAAACTGAGGCCCAGGCTTCAGGCCCCCGAGGAGCTCCTGGGCGGCCAGTGTGGGTGGGCCTGGCCTTGGCTCTCCCTACAGCCCGGAGCCCGGCCCACACCTGGCGCCCGGTGAACGGAGTCGAGCCCATCAGAGTCCCCGTGGGGGTCAGCAGGGCTCTCAGGTGCCAGAGCACCGCCCAGGCCAGCGGGGGCCGTGCACCCCCACGGTGCCTCCCCCTAAAACCCAGGGAGCAAAAGGGTGTCGGGGACCGCGGGAAGGGAAGCGGGAGGGTGAACTCGGGCAGGAGCGGGCGCACGGGGAAGCCGGGTTTGCAGGGCACAACGTGGCGGGAGAGACGGACGGCGGCCAGGCAGCCCCCGAAAAACGCCTGGCATCGCTCTCTCACCTGCTCTCCGGGGTGCGTCGTGGATCCGACAGCGGGACCGATCCCTCCGCCTCCGAGAGGCCGCCGCGCCGCGCGGAACTCGCGCCTGTTAACCCGGCGGGTGGGGCGCGAGGCTCTGGCCCTCCGGCCGCCGGGCCCCCCGGGCCCCGCCCCCGCCTGCCCCGCCCTCGGAGGGGGAGGGGCCAAGGTCACGGACTTGGCCAATAGAAGTGCGGGCGGCGTACAAAAGAGCCAATAGAAGCAGGTCACCGCCGAGGGGGCGGGGACAGGGGCGGGGACGGGGCGGGGCCGCGCGGCTGGGGGGGGGATTCCTCCGGAATCGTGGAGCCGGCCGGATGCTGGGGGCGCCGCGCCCCGGGGCCCGTCGTCGGAAGAAAGGGGAGGAAGGGGCCATAACAAAGAGACCCACGGGGAGAGAGGAAGGCTCCGAATCACAGAGAAAAACATCCACCATGCAGTGTGGGGCAGGACCCTTCCTCCCTGCGGGACTCAGTTTACCCTCCTGGGAAATAGAAATCCGGGTAGAAGCTTGTTTCTTCAAGTACAACCCCGGAACCCTTTACCTCCGAATCACCTGGGAGTCCCTTACAAACGCAGATCCCAGTCCCCCCGGACGGGCTGACTCTGTCCCAGGGTGGAAGATCTACCGTCCCGGGCTGCTAATAAGCTCTCTGGGTGAGGTCTGGGCAGCGGCTGGTGGACAGGTCCCTCCGGGGACCCCCAGAGCAGCCTCAGTGTCCGTGGGAATGAGCCTCCTGGCCGCCTGCAGGTGGGCGGCAGGGCCAACTGGGCATCCCCCACCCCCGTGAGGATGCAGCTGTGAGTCCTGGGAACTGGGCCCTGGAGCGGCTCCCAGCTCCCTTGCTCCCGTTTCCTCTCTGCAGCCCCAGCCCAGGGCCTAGCTGCAGCTAGAGCCAGGGGAGGCCAGGGCAGGCCAGATAACAGATGTTTGTTGAGTGCCTGGTCCTGTCCTGCACAGCGGGGATTGGGGGAAGGAGGAGGGGGACAAGAAACTATGGCACAGATGCCTGAGGCCCAAATGAGTGAAATGCTTCTTTATTCCATTTGGAGGGGGAAACTGAGGCCCAGAGAGGGGACATGAACTGCCTGAGAACAGGCAGGCACAAGTGGCAGGGATACTGTTTTAAAACCTAGGACTGCTTGTCCTACCTCTTCTCACGCCCGGCTGGGTCCCACTCTCTCTCTCTAAGCCAGGGTTTCCCATCCTCAGCACTATGGACATTTGGGGCGGTAATTCCTGCGGGAGCAGGGGGCAGGGAGGGGGGCAGGGGCATCGTGTGCTCTGTGGAATGTTGAGCAGCATCTCTGGCTCCCACCCTCTCAATGCCAAGCATTTCCTGGGGGGTCAGACTGGCCCTTGGTTTAGACCTAAATCCATCTCTTCACATCCCTTAGCCCCAAATTATGGAGACCCCTTCTTTGGACCCAGGTAGCTAATGGGGTCGCAGAGGCAGAAGGAGCCATTCTAGCACCTCATCAAACACAGCAGGTTGTTTCGATGCGTGCTTCGTGGGCAGGAGCAGGCGTGGCGTGTGACGGCGGTGGGTACAGTCCCAGCCTTGTCAGTATCTGCCTACAAGTGTTCATCTCTCCGAGCCTCAGTTTCCCACACCTGTGACAGGAAAATAAAGCTACAGGTCCACAAATAAGATAATGAATAAAAGATGCAGGTTCTGCCCTGGCTGGTTTGGCTCAGTGGATAGAGCGACAGCCTGCAGACTGAAGGGTCCTGGGTTCAATTCTGGTCAAGATCACACGCCTGGGTTGCAAGCTCCATCCCCAGTAGGGGACGTACAGGAGCCAGGCAATCAATGGTTCTCTTTCATTGATGTTTCTATCTTTCTTCTCCCTCTTCTTTCCTCTCTGAAATCAATAAAAATAAAAATTAAATTAAATGCAGGTTCTGCCCAGCAAGTGTGGCTCAATGGTTGAGAGTTGACCTATCAACCAGGAGGTCATGATTCGATTCCCAGTCAGGGCACATGCCCCAGTTGCAGATTTGATTCTGGGTGGGATGGATAGAGGAGGTAACTGATAGGTGTTTCTCTCTCACATCAATGTTCCTCTCTCTCTCTCTCTCTCTCTCTCTCATCAATAAGCATATCCTTTGGTAGAGATTTTTTCTTTTTTAATGCTCACAAGAATGTGAAGAAAATAGAACTATGAACATTGATGGTGGTGGGGGGATATAAAATGGTGCAGCTGTTGTGGAAAAGTTTGGCGGTTCCTTAAAAATTAATCATAGACTTAGCTTATGACTGAGCAATTCCACGCATAGGCATCTACCCAATGAAGTTGAAAGCAGGGACAAATAGGTAGTTTCATAGCAGCGTTATTCACAATAGTCAAAAGGTGGAATAACCTGTGTCCATCAACAGATGATGGATAAGCACAGTGTGGCTCATCTATAGTCTACAGTGTACAATGGAATATTATTCAGGTCCCAAGTCCAGCTTACCCAGACTCTGAAGAAGGAGGAAAATTCTGACTCCTGCTGTACCTTGGATGGACCTTGAGGACATGATCCTGAGTGGAATAAGTCAGGCACAGAAGGATAAATACTGGGTGATTAGGTCATAAGGAGTCACATACATAGAGACAGAGCAGGTGGTGGGAGCCAGGGGCTGGGGAAGGGAAGGTGGGTGGGAGTGGGAGTTTGATGGGGACGGAGTTTCGGTTTGGGAAGATAAGAAAGTTCTGGAGACAGATGGTGGTGACAATTACCCAACATTGTGAATGTATTTAATACCTCTGACCTGTACACTTAAAATGGTTAAGGTGTTAAACATTATGTTATATATTCACCATAATTTTAGAAATGAATAATGTAATATACCAAAACACTGAGTTGTATACTTTAGATGAGTGAATTGCATGGCATATAAATTACGTCTCAATAAAACTGTTTTGTATTTTTTAAAATATATTTTTATTGATTTTTTACAGAAATGAAGAGAGAGAGATAGAGAGTTAGAAACATCGATGAGAGTCATTGATCAGCTGCCTCTTGCACACCCCCTACTGGGGACGTGCCTGCAACCAAGGTACATGCCCTTGACCAGAATCTGCAGGCCGATGCTCCATCCACTGAGCCAAACCGGTTCTGGCCTGTTTTGTATTTTTTTAAGAAAGGGCCCAGTGCCACATCTGGGAATAATAGCTACAATAGTATAACTAATATTTATTGAGCACCTATTATGTGCCAGCCGCTATTGGCACTTTACATAAATTAGCTCATCAAATTCTCACAGCAATCCTGCAAGGGAGCTGCAAGTATTTCACAGATGATGAAACCGAGGCTCAGAAGAAGCAGGTGGTGACAGAGGTGGGATTAGAACCTGGGGCAGTCTGAGTTGGGTGTAATATGTGCAGCTCTCCTGAGTGGCCTGGACAGCCTTGGGGTTGCTCCCAGAGGCCAGGGAACTGGGGGTGGGGGAGGAAGGGGCTCCCGAGCCTAGCGTAGAACAGGCCAGGGGCTCTGTCTGGGGTTAGAGGCTCAGCTCAGGTCTTGGGGTCACGCTGTGCCGCTTCCGGCCGTGCGCAGCAGGGGGCGTGCGTTGCCCACAGCTGGCCCGGCAGCGCCCTCTCACAGGAACAGGTGCTAACGTGGTCTAGATCTGCATGTGGGGAAGGGTCCCAAGTCCAAGTCACCCAAACCCTAAACCCGTGCAGTGTCACCTGCACCCCAGAGCCAGGCCTTGCGCCCTGCTGGACTGTGTGACCCGAGAAAGAGGTCCTCTTCTCTGTGCAGCGGGACCCCGTGCGGGGAGGAGGATTTTCTCGGGGAGCCTCGGGGAGCCCCTGGCCTGGCGGCTTCCCCACTGCCCAGGAGCTTTGGGGGGCCAGTGGAGCAGTGGCCACAACACCCCCCCCTCCCCCCCGCTCCAAGCCCAGCGGTAACTCCCCTGTGCCCTCAATCCATCTGTCCCCATCTTATCTGCGGGCGAGACCCTCCCAAGGCCACCGTAAGAGCGAGAGTGGGCGCAGCCGGCGTGGCTCAGAGGTTGAGTGTCGACCTGTGAACCAGGAGGCCATGATTCGATTCCCAGTCAGGGCACAGGCCTGGGTTGTGGGCTTGATCCTCAGGGGCGTGCAGGAGGAAGCTGATCAACGATTCTCTCTCATCATTGATGTTTCTCTCTCTCCCTTCCTCTCTAAAATCAATTTTCAAAAATGTATTTAAAAAGAAAAGAGCCAAAATCAGTTTTGCTCAGTGGCTAGAGTGTCGGTCTGCGGACTGAAGGGTCCCAGGTTTGATTCCAATCAAGGGCATGTACCTTGGTTGCGGGCACATCCCCAGTGGGGGGTGTGCAAGAGTCAGCTGGTCGATGATTCTCTCTCATCGATGTTTCTAGCTCTCTATCCCTCTCCCTTCCTCTCTGTAAAAAATCAATAAAGTAGCTATTTCTTAAGAACCAAAAAAGAAATAAAAAAAGAAAAAGAAAGAAAGAGTGGGTGGGCGGACCCAAAGGGGACAGATGAGGAGGGTGGGAGCTTGCTGGAGCCCCGCAGGCCAGGGGGTCTCACAGAACTTCCCCAAGGGCACAGGGGAGGATGGGGAGCTGTCGTCATCTCCGAGGTCACTGGCTCAGCCAGAGGTCAGGGTCACAGGCCAGGTGACCCCTCTCTCCCCTCTGCTAACAGGAGGCCGAAGAGAAGTGGGGTGGGAAGGTCCTACAGCAGCCTCACTCCTTTGCCCCCATTTCCATTCCCTGCACCTTCCTCCCCGCGGAGCTAAACGCTGAGCTAAATGCTGAGCGAGGGAGCAAGCTGGGCCTCAGCGGGAGGATGCATTTACAAGCGTGGGCCAGCCACCTGCTGGCTGCCTGCGTGCGGGCGGCCGGTGCCTGGGAGGGAGCTCCCGCGGGCCCGTGTCTGGGTGTGCGGCAGGCGGGCTGGCGGGCAGGCGGGCCTGCGGCTGCCGCTGGGGTGGTGAGCCCACAGCATTCCTGGCAGGAGGAAACCTCATTGTTTGGAGCCTCGGCTCCCGTGTCTGGAAAATGGGCGCCGTCGCAGCACCGGCTTCAGAGACTTTAAAACTCGGAGGACACAGCGGGCTCAGCGAGGCCTGACATGCACACAGGCTGCCGGGTCAGGGCTGTGACGGGCA